TCTCATGCGGGCGGCGTGGCGATGATGAGTGCTAGTGACTTAATAGCCCTTGAGGCATCTATAAACACTGTTGATTTTGTACATTTTCATTCGTTTCATGTAATTGTATTGGCCTGAGGAAGAATTACCGAAAACGTGCGTTTGCCAACTTGACATATTAATTTCTTTTTACGTGACAATCGACTGGTGATGTCTAGTTTGATTGTTGGAATCGCACACCGCCCCAAGTTACCATGCGTAATAGGGTCTTGAAAATTAAAGACCGGCTGAAGCCTGAAGAGCAATCTGGAGTAGTGTATCGCATTCCGTGGCAAATTGTCCTTGTAACTACACAGGCCAGACTGGGCGCATGCTCGGATCGCGCACACACGAACATAAGATGACTTTGCGGCGAGGCGACGCATTATCACAAGTGGCCGCCCACACCTACGAAATGGGTCACGAGTTTAACTTCGTAACCACCAAAATACTCGTCCACGCCGGAAACAAAACAGGCCGAGAATTGATTGAAGCTTGGGTCTCGGATGAGAACTCGGTCAATGGATTTATCGGTCTGGCGCCGGCGTACAGAGCCCTGCGGAGTCACCTCCAGTCTTGCGCTGTCGGTCGATGATTGGTCTGCATGCCTTGTAACCGTCGCTTGTTCTGTTTCTGCCACTATCTCTGATGATGGACTTCTGCACGAATCTGAAAGGTCAGGTCAATAAAACAAGTGTTCCGGTGCTCAATTCTTCTTTACTTATGATTGTTTAGTAAATCCAGCTTTGACGGTCAGCGTACTGTATCAGACTTGGTGGACTACATACGTTGCCGTAGGTTAGGCGAGTAAATTGACTCAAATGAGATTAGAATCGTAGCTGCCGGTGGGGCCTCATAACTCCGGAGGCTAGAGCGTTGGCTTTACTTAAACCTTCCCCTTGCCCTCGTGAGTTCGAATCCCACTGGTGCAGTCGAGGTTTTGGAAACTTAGTCAGAATAAATTATTGACAATAGACCAAAGCACCTACTTATGATAAATTTGTAGAATATTGCCACGCAAAAAGTGATTTATGGATGGTGTTCGCATAAAAGCTGCTAACATATATCATTCATCGTGAGACACTTTAGTGGATGTGCTGAAATCAAGTAGTCATCAATATGAAAACCATTAGAAATGTGCAGCTGCAATAGTCGTTGGCGTCGGAGTGACTCCGGTGTACTTTATGTGCGATAACATTTCAGCATTCCTTCGCGCGCCTCGCTAACCTCTTGATTAAATTTCCTTTGCGATAATGCTGTTATATACACGTGAAAATATTTCCGTTTACTTTCAATATCGCAAAAACTCAAATTCATTTCCTAGCCAAAATGTAGGTAAAGCGTTGCTTGTAAGCATTAACGAACAATTCTGCCTGTTTTCTTGTTCGTACTAAAAAAGAAAGTACCACTGTTCCACAAGACCCCCTAGATGGTATATTATACAGCAGTATAGAAATACGCCCTTAATGTGATAATGTACGAATGTCGGGAGGATTTCTTAAGTGAATGTGTACAGACTTTGCATGACAGAATTCATTAAATGCCGTGCGTTTGACATAGTATTTGGCGACCCACCAACCTTAAACAAAAAACAACAGCCTTCTAATATAGTTTAAATTTGTATCTTAGCAGACCGAGTAGACAAAATTAGTTGCAAAAACCGAGCTTTGCAGAATAAAATGCCGTTTTTACGTTACTTTCAATAGCATGTGGAGGGCTGTAAATATTTAAGAACGGTAAATAATACACGTTTTTTACATTACGTTTGTGTCAACCTAGCAAATACAATGTGCAATGTGGTCATTTTGCTCTTCGATGTGATCTCTCCCTCAAAACCTTGTAACACAGAATATAATTTGATCCCATTCATAATGCTCACTCTAGCTTTACGCTGATTTCTCCAGACACCGGTAAAGTTGACTTAGGCGAGAGTTGAGGCGACGTCTGTTGACAAACGTTAAAAAGAGCTCCAGGGCTGCAAGAGAGGAAAAACAACTAGTAGTGATTCAAAGGTTCCACTTGCGGCCAAACCTCCCGCTCAAAACACGCACCCCTCGGACGACGAATGGAAACTTTGCCTCCATTAAAGCCTACTGTCCATTTCGCCACTGGCATTTCGTCGAAGTTGCCTACGGTCTTCAGACGAGCTTCTCCACACATTTGATGACTAACCCAATCCCCAGGTGCCGGTATCCCTAATAATGACGATCAGTGCCATACTTCTATAGAGTAATTTCTTCCTACGTACAATCATTGATTGCGCACCTGGAAACGAGGTGTCATCGTGAGAGTCAAGGAGTCTTCCCAGTCAAGAACAACAAGCGGCACATATTTCAACAAAAAACGTGTCAATATCAATTTTTATCCCAAATGTGACCTTGTTATAGGATCCACAATACAAAACGCAGTCAACTCCTCTTCTTTTCTATATGTGCTCAATAAGGGGTTTCATTAATGATTTTAGTGAAGGCGCTTATTAATGCTATGTTTTAGTACTATAATTCCAATGTTCGACGAATGGAAGTGTTGCGTCGTTCTAATGCAGATTGTTGCGGCCAGACAGTGATCTAAGATTTATTGGGGTCCATGATATTATCCTGTGCATAATAAAGAATTTCTGCCGAACCGTCGAGCATCCAAGCAAAGTCCACTAACCAACAGCGTGCTAGTAAAAAGAGGAAACATGTCGTGGGCATTTGTGACGTGTTCATATATGCCTAGTAAAGGATTAATTATGACTAACATAAATACTGACGTGTTTTCGAACGCGATTCCGCGCACGTACAAATCAAAATTGTCAAAGAATAAACACCACTAAATTTTACGCATATAGCGCGATCAGAAAGCAGGGATAAAAAATAGAATCTTAAGCCCGCAAATGCCGTCCACATCAGAAACAGAATCCATACAAACACAGGAAATTGCCTCAAAAGGCCAGACCCCAACTTACGCCAAATGACTCGGAAGCACACTTTGAACGAACAGAAGTGGCTTCGTGCATAGCAGTTGTCAAGTATTGAGAACAAGTGACGCTCAGGGAACTTCATGCGATTACCTGTATTCATGAGTTCATTGCCTTCTAAAAGGCAAGAATCAAGCGAAGACATTCCTTTGTTTTTATATAAGTGTGAAAATCAGCAGGAGGTAAGATTTCAAAGGAATGCGAAATGTCTGATCAACTAAAAATAATAGATGTACAGAGGTAGGCTAATTTAATTAGCATGCATTTTGCTCAATGATTTTCGGTAACCTTAATAATTTAATTATATTTCATGTTAAATATGCATAGACACATGCATGTTTCTGCTCATTCGGTAGAAAATGACGTTTTTTTCAATCGTTTTCTCGAAGAAGAGGTATACTGCGGTTTTCAAAAATATTTCCAATTCCCGGATAATTTCGAATCCGACCTGTCGTTATACGTGCATTAAGGTTTTCCCAGCTACAAGCCTTATATCTCCCGCATACCATACAGTTGTCTGCGGTATCTGGAAGAAACCATATAAGGTTCATCAAATTAAGCAGTGGATTTGGGCTACACTGTTTACTTTACAAGCCACATTGGTAGATGCAAAGACATGAGGTTTTATGGACGGCCATTTCATGGTGTTAGAAAATGGCGCAAATAGAAAATTTTGAACACCCAATTATGTCCTTGCTTAGAGAATAAATTAAGACTAAGCAGTCATACGTCGTAAATAAGTCCAACTCAAGATGATCCATTCAATATTTTGACAATGTTTTTGTAAATTATAGTATATGGAAAGCAATGCAAAGGGCCTTCATAACTGGGAGCGTAGTAAGGAATTTTTGTTAATGTGTTATTTGACTTAGCGCATACTGTACATTTGACTTGCTCGCAAACAATTTTTAGTTTTCGACAAAACCCATTATCTCTAGCAAGCCAGGCATCGCATGCTAATTTGCAAATAAACAAGTCGCTGAATATGTGCGAACGAATCCACCTGAGAGTCCGTTATTTGCGTATCACTTACTGAAACGCTGTTTACTTCGAAGCCTCCTGGTCGCGTGAACTCACTGTGAGGCGTGAAAATATATTGCTACTAGAAGGGTGTTATGGACTGTGTGAACATTCAAGTAGAATTTTTTTATTTCGCAGTTCGAATAAAAACCCGGACTTGAATTTATTGCGTTTAAGTCGACACTACTACCCAGATAACGTTTTATAAATCACCTAAGTCAAGCGTCAATTTTTAGGGTTCGACATGTCACCCTAAACGCCTTTAGGTGACCAAAAGCACATTACATACTCCTGGGCAACCAGTGGGCTTATCATGTATGGCCGCCATTGGTCCGTAAATTGTCCAATCAGACTCAAGTGGGGTAAAGTCATTTTTAACTTTAATTTCCCTCACCAGCAGGTCACTGCGATAACGCAGGCATGCGGCTCTAGTTCCTCGAATTGCAAGCCTCCAAGAAGACCAGCTGCAGTCGTTTTCCTTGATGTTATCTTACTTTCGTGATCGATTTCAGTACAGTTGGCATGGTGTTCCCCTGTCCAAAGGGATCATAGAAGGCCCAATAAGTACAATCTCCGAATGCGCCGAAGGCCTAGCAGTCAGAGGTCGGCAGGCGTCTTTGGAATACAATAAAGGCCCTTCAAGTCAGACGCAAGCCTGGTCGAAACCGATAAAGTACAAGCCAAGTGAATACGGTAAGTTATGTGGTTACAGAGTAGCAACCGGTTTAGCGAAAACAAAGATATTTTTGCAAATAACCACTGCGTGTTTCTAGTCTATAATGTTTCCAACTTAAATTTAAATTCTATCGAAAAAATGTTTTTGCCGTCCGGTCATTTATAAATAATCGGTACATTTGATGCTTTCGGGTTGAAACGAAAGGGCGTCTGATTTGCGAACAGAGGACAACGAACAGAATTTTGGCGAAACATTACCTGTTTTTGCCTACATGGCAACCACAACGTTCATTTTGTAACAGGGAATATTGGTGCTGTCGAGAAGAACAACCTGTAACTTAACTCCAAGTGTTGTTCTCAATTGATTAATCGTGCTAATTCTGGGTTGGGTGCTTTAATGCGCGTCAAAATACTACTGTCTAATCCGGTGTTGTGCTGCCTATCGACTGGACTAGGCGTTCATTTTTGGGATAATTCAGGAGCATTTCTAGTAAGTAGCATAAAATGCCCGAATTTCATCAGAGGACGCTTTGCTTAACAGGGCTTAGTAAAATACCTCACGAGATGAGGATGCTATTGCTAAACTAATAGGGAACAATGAGGAGCTGCTACGTTAGGAAAGTTAATTGTTTAAAATGAGGAGTCGCGGCCTCAGAATTTATTTTTCGATCACTGATGAGCACATTTATCAAAGAATTCTAAGGCGGCCGGATTATTTATCGGTGCTCAAGAGACTAGTTTCATTATGCCGCCAGTACAAAGCACTGGGCTACTATTCAATGCACTTATTCAGCGACTTAAGCGCTGAGATTGAACATTTTTTGCGCTAAATTAACAAACAACCTAACGCGTTGAAGAGCAACGAGAAGTGACGCAGAGAAGAAGATACTGACGTAAAAAGCCAGAGAGACCCAGATGGCTACTTTTGGGTAGGGAGATTTTGCACCCTCTAGAGGGGCTGGACCAGCATACGACCCGATCACGCGTCGGCGCACGTTAATGGGCTGCACACTCAGATGTGGGATGTGCGGTGACACACCCAGACGCGGGATTGCGCCGCCCAACATTTGCGCCCGATCCTGTCTTATTTACTTTGCCCTGACAGCGGACCCAGCTGGGTGAGGAAAGAGAGAGTGATGTTGGTGCGGTGAAGGTGTTTTCTCCCGTGCAAGTCACTGCCTTCTCGTTCAGCATTCTCTGAAATCTTCGGCAACGACGGTCGAGGTGCCAGACTGATTTAAAAAAAAATTGTCCTAGACATTACTTATAATTAGCATACAACAGTAAACAATTTATCTGAGAAAGTCTTTAATGAAATACCTTACAAGATGTGGATTGTACTGTTTGGCGAACTGGAAGAAGAAGAGGGGATGCCACATCAATATCGCATTACACTCCATTGTCATGAATGCATTTCCTTAAGTTACTGCCTGATTTCGTCGCAGAAAGCTACAACTGTCAACTTCCCGCTTCCTGTTTACAGGAACGGTCTCTTGATACCGTTAGTGTTGAGAAAAGTACTACAGTTCTTAGCCCTGATTTGGCGGCTTCAATGTTGTTCTGTTTGGGAGAATTTACTAAGAAAACACATTGAGCGCCAAGCCAGACCACGTAGGAATGTTAAATATTGGTCACTGAATTAATTTTATTGCTGATACAATTAAAGGAATCAGATTATGAGAAGTAGTGGCAGGCGCTAAAACAAGTGCTTTCTTCGCCCGACGTTTCTGATCCTCTCTCTAACTCATCATCAGAAACAGTAGCACAAACGGGTGATTCATGCACAGGGAGTTTCCGTATTTATAGGATGCGGTCAATATGCTACTGCACACCTATGATAATTAATCGCACTCCGCTTTATCGAGAATTGTTGCTCGCTGGTACGTTAATTGCCTGATGGCCGACATACCAGTTGTTAATTCCTATAATCTAATCACCCCTGCTAGATGCTGTCATGATGACTGCTCGGCTCTCCGGCTCACCGGCCTGCGCGCTGTCCGAGTGGTTAATTATTTTGGTCAGAATATGGCTCAGTACGGAATATGGAGTGGGGATGCCGTTGCCTTGTTGGTAGACCGAGATCCCACGAAGCATGACTCAAGCATGTCGCGGCTCACGCGATTATCACCTCTGGCGAGAATGTCGGTCTCATTGAACTTAAATGTGCGGCTGGATCTCGTCGGCCATCAAGCAATTAGCGCCCCATCGGTTAACAATTCTCGACGAAGGGAAGCGCAGTTAACCATAATAGGTATGCGGCGGCATAGCGACTGCATGCTATAAATACTGCAACGTCCTGCGCACGAATCACCCGTTTCTGTTACTGTCTCTGATGATGGGTTCAAATGAGAATTCGAAAAGTCAGGCGAAAAAAACCCATTGTTTCATTGATCGCTTCTAATTTTTATCAGCTCATATCTTCGCGACGTATAAATTGGAGTCGTTGGAAAAGTAGCAGAGACAGCTACTAATTGATGCTGTCACTAATGAATGAATGGGAGTCCCATTGTGAAATAGACACTTATGACTTGTAAATCGTTCTTAGACTGACCCACTGCGTCATGGGGAGAAAGAAAACAAACCTCCAGTCAGCGGTCAGCACAGCAAAACCAAATCTTTTAAAACAGAACGGATGGCCTGATCAACACAGAAGATTAAGTGTAGTTGTACATATTCCTAACCCGGAACATTGTAACTAATTATATAAAGGTAGATCCATGAACTCCAGTTTATCGCTACCGACTCGTTCTTTTTCAAATAGTTAAGGTCAGGCACATTTTTTACAGGCAAAAATGTAGTTAAAAACAAATTTTGAGATTTTTGCTGGCGTTTTTCATTCCATTCGATTCCATTGTATCCGCGACGTCACGGGGAGTAATGTCATTCGATTATTAAACAAACAAAGGAACACTCCTCAGATCTGACACGAGGTTCGGTGCAGTCAGCGCGAACCGAACAAAAGAGCTCTTTCATAAGTGATAGAGGGGGGGGACGACTTCGACTACTCCTCTTTGGAGGAACATATTCTGATAAAGACGAGCGAATGCAAATGTATTCAGCTCCGTGAATCCCTGTGTATCCTTGTTGTCATCGAGAGGAAGGTTGTAGTTACGGGCTTTGCCGTCCCCGAAAACAGTCTCCATCATTTGAGCGCTATTTAACCCAAAACTCCTCGGTGAACAATGGGATATTTGGTTACGAAAACTGGGAAAAACCAGGACTTATAGAAATATACTCTATCACCATGCTCACAAAAGTCAAACAGACAAGTCTCTAATGACGACATATGCTACTTCGCGATATTTAGAAACGTGTGACTTGGATTGATGCGGTCTTTGCAAAAGAACTAGGAAATATTTGAGGCATTCCTCTGACTGTCATCTACCCTGCTATGGACTAGTTAATTTGCAATAATTAAGTAAGAAATCAGCTTCCTCGGAGTAAAAAAACAGAGACTTTATCCAAGCCGGGACAAATATGTGTAAAATAGTTGCCCCTGGAGAAACGCCGATGTAGGTAAGGCTACTGAGACACTGCTCATAAATAAACTAAAAGAACCCCACCAAGACGCGCAAAATTTACCCAGCTCTTTTTTTGAAAGACAGTCAAAAAATTTACTGGGACGGCATCGATAAAACAAAAAGCAAGATTATAGTGTGCAAGTGAGAAGAGTACAATTTTAGTAACGCCAAGTCAAGATTTTTTTGCAAAAAAATGACACCTTAAGCATGCAAGCCTACCAAATGAGCCGTCCCTTTGGCTAAATGAATCCGAAATGTTCGTTTCCTGTAGTTCTGATTTAATGATCGGGACTTTACTCCCAAGAAGACCAGTTAGTTTTTGAGCAGGCGCGAAAAAATAGAAGGAACAGTTGGGCGGTCGCTGCCGACGATTCCCATTGTCTGTCCTGAGGCAGGAATGACGCACGAACAGTGACTTACGCGTGAGTTAGGTTTATGTTGGTGGCAAACTGGAGCTGCATTTACTATGCTCTTCCGTCCTCCACCGACCTTGCTCTGATGGCCTCGGTTTCAAGCCATAGTCAAAAAATCGGGCTAGGCGCGGTGACTAAAAAGTCTGTCTACGCGTGCCCTACGCGTCCTGCCAACAAATCTGTTATCTAAACTTTTACAGAAAGAAGAAGGAAGCGTTCAGAGTCCATCTGAGTATAGGTGCCGTGGAGACTGTATTTAGGAGGAGCCATTGCAGCCTGGTCCCCCTATCTGAAAGGCGAACCGAGTTTTCCTGTGAAGTAACAGCCTTCCAAATCGCGACCTTTAAAGCACCCCAGGGTTAATCTCGATTTTGCTTGCCTGTCCCAGGTACCAGTTCACTGTCCTAGCAGGCAAGCCCTCTAGTACGGGGGCTGGATGCGAGCGATTTGCGTGGCGTGAACCTGCGCCTGGGTGTGCAACCACCTACCACACATGTGGGCAATATGTCAAGGGTGCGCAGCCTAAATAACGCATTGGGTACCCTGATACATCTTCCATGGTTTTCTATCGCATCTGTTCCGTGGATTTTTTCAGAAGTTGCGAGCTCATAACTAACAGAAATTATATAAAGAAGCGGATATTTACAGTGACTGGGACGGGGGTTTCCGGCATTTTAACCATTATCAGCTTACAACATTTAACCATAGTTCTGGATAAAATGAGATTGGAACAAGGTATCTCTAGCCACTGAGCGCTAAAATGTACAGCCCTTCACAATTAGGCAATGGGTCCGTTGTCTTTATGGTTGTGATCAGAAATACTAATTATCAAACGAGAGATGTTTACTAATCAGATTGCATGATGTGCTTATTGTCTTGCAAAGACCTTAAATGTTGTCACAGAGTCTGCACACTCAGTACTAGGAAGATATATCGATAAGGACAAAAGTGGTTACGGTGGAATTGTGTTGATATTTAACATACTGAAAACACAGGTACTGGCTAAATACCCAGACCCGCAAGTTTCGCCAATCTCGTGTCGCCGCTTGACGCAGCTGAGAAACGTTGGGCTCATTAATAAGTCCCCCTATCTTTACGCGTGTTTACTGATATAAAAAATCAATTTTCACTCTGCCTTGTTTAATGTTCGAGGAAAATAATGCGCTAGCTTGGCGTTAATCCTTTGGAACAGAACTTTTACAAGTACGGTCTGAAAATTGATACGAATCGCTCAACCGAAATCTATGTTTGCGCATTCATTTCCACGAAACTTTAAGTATAAAAGGTAAAACTGGAGTCCATATAACAGAAAACACAGAAAAATCTAGGATGTACCCATTGATGGACCGAATCCCTCGCGGTGACGTCAAACAACGACATAACGCCGGCAAACACGCGTGTCTGGGCTATTATCTAGTATCCGTGTTTTCAGTACTGTAAATAAGTATCCCATTCTATCCTGCTGGCTGCCGGTCGGCGGTTATTCCGCAGTAGCTGATGGACTTCAGCTCACATATTCACATAATATTTGGACCAAAACTGAAATGGTCTGTTCCGTAGGATTTACTCCAAGTTCGCGAATTAACTTTCTCGGAAAGTAAACAAGAAAAAGAGGTTTGGTTGGTTATTTCCGGCTTATTGGTAGTTCGATTATAACTATTATCCAAAAATTAACCGGAGGGAACTAAATATTGCGCAAATGAAGTCATGAATCAGTCTCAGTTGGCAACAGAGCAACTAGTGTCGTTTGGCAAAAGTGATTGACCGTAAGAACTTTGGTCACAAATCTCGGTCATTTCCGACTGTGGTTTTTGAAACGTGACTCAAGTAACTACCTTTGAATGGTGATTTTACGTCGTGAAGCGATCTGACAGGATCGCGAAAAGCCGGCTTTTTAGTCAAAACGCTGAAGAAAATAAAAATGTGAATCCTTAAGTCTGCACCCACAGAAGGGCTTAAGTGGCCTGATGATGTGGCATAAATCTTCAGAAATAGCGGATAACCTCAACTTCTCTGATCGACGCAACGTACAGTCTGCTCAAGCACATTTATGTGGATCACAGAAAACACTACAACGACCTCACATACTGTTTTCCATATTTGGTAATCCAGAAAAATGCTCTCTTAGGTAGTTGTGATTGAGATGATTAGTTTAGTGCTTAAGGAATATGAAATAGGTCGATGCCTGCAACGGATTAAAATGGCTTAGATTACAAAAAGAAGATCCTTAATGTCATGCTTCGCCAGCTGGCACTGCCGCGTCAACAAGATTGTGTTTGACACAGGATAACCGGCCTATCACACCCACGCATGCCCATTTAGGTTGATGACTTTATAAAAGCATCAATTCCGGGTTAGGAAATGCATTTCATCTAAACAGCAGTGCAAGAGAGGACAAACACATAATCGTGTCATTCCAGACGAATTTGGGACTGGCTAGAAAGCGTGCATTTCAGCAACATAAAACAGCAAGTTTACATCGAAAATACAAATTTGTTTAAGTTAATAAAAACCTGCTCACCTATAAGAAGTGAGCTATAAATTTGTAAACAGTATGCAAATTAATTGGGACTTTATTCGGTGCAGGTAGAATTGCCATAGTGATGAGTGCACATGTGAAATATTAAAACTTGAATAAAGTCATGCTGTTTGAAAAAAGAAAACTATTTTTTCCTCGGCATAATTGGCGCTACCAATCACCACTGTAAATTGCTGGTAATTATTTCGCCTCTAGAAGAATAAATGTTTTTAATCATGTAGCCATAAATTTATTTAAGTTTTTTTTAAAATCCTGTGCTAACAAAACAAAGAAAAATAGCTTAATTTCATAAAATGGCAAGTGCAATGTTAAACGTATTTATGGACTACATTTTTGGTAAAGAAGGATTTGTTAAGTGGGATCATTATGTTGTATATCGTGAAAACACAAGCGCGACAGAATGCTGACTTTTGAATGCATTTCCACCTGGCCACCTGCAAAAAGCTTACTTAGTTAATAACTGGCTACATAAATAGTATGATGTTTTCCGCTTTTTGAATATCGCTGTGAATTCAAGTACATTCTACGAACAACATGAACCAACAGTTTTCCTCTATTTTTGCACCAGGTTATATCTTCAAAGATTTATATTTAAAAAAGGTCAACACTGGGCTTTTAAAATAGCTTATAAGACCTTTTATGACCTTGAAATATTTATTACAATGTTTATTAATAATGTCGTTTATGAAATGTGTATCATGGCCCACATCCATTACGAAATTCCGTGAGTCCTGTATGATGTCTTCTAAATGGAATACATGTGTGTCTGGCTTTTTCTACGTGTAAACTATACACATTTTAGACTTTAAAACCCTAAGGCAAATGCGGCGGCAGATTTGACTCAAAGGTATTCGAAACATGAGGAATTCTTTTTAAACCTATATGCGTCCTTTCTTTAAGTAAAAATTTGGAGAAGACGTGAATTGCTGTTAACCATGCACAGGAAGACAAAAGTATGTGCATGGTTTGCTTAAATTGTACTTAAATTTTAGGGATTATTGAAATAATTGCAAAAACTATGCTGCTTGTGCAGCCATTTGTTACCGAGTGTGATTTTTGCTGACGTTTGAGTAAGAAAGCATTCAAAGGCCGGCACCCTGTAGCGGTTTTATAATTTGCAGTTTATGATGTGAGAAGTTCAATTTGGCAGCCCCACTTAACTTACCCCTCTGAATCCGGAATGCAGTTAGCAATTACGATTGGGATTTCATTAGATCAATCGCTGACTGTGATGCATGCTGTTATGTTACTTTATTATGTATTATGTATATTTCATATTATACACAGATATGTAGTATACATTATATCATTATTGCATTATTATATTATATGTTTTTTTATATTATATTATTATATTTTATTATAATATTATATACCATATATTACTATTGTATCATAAACTGAAGTCAGTGTTTTGACAAAAATAACATTTTATCGCTACGAATGGCAGGAAACGGTCTAGACCTCGGGAGTGACATGCAACTTACGTCTCTGGACCAACTTTCCTTCCAAAAGCGCTCTAACGCCATAGTAACCCTTCGCGACTTCTCTCATTTTCGTACATTGTGATTAAGATTGCACCAAACCTTTTGGACTTCCTGTACAATAACTTTTAAACTTTGAAAGCGAGGAGTCGAGAACTCGGCCGACTGGACCCCGCGCTCTATGTGAGTGAGAAAAACGAGGATCTCTACGATGTGCCTTTGGGCCACTTAGGCCGTCTGTGGTTTACCCTCTCCTATGATCAAACCAGCGAACGTCTGCACGTCACGGTGCACAAGGCACGAAACCTGCGCTCCCCCAATTACCGATCACTCAGATTTTCCATCGGCATGCCGGCGGATCTCACTGCACTTAGCATCCTCACACCGGTTCAAACACAAGACTGTCGCGTAAAGTAAGTTCATGTGGCCCGCAAAATGCATTTTCTACTGCACTTAGCTTTATAACTGCGTACCCGGAAGGCATCAGCTGTGCGGCAATGTATTCAGTGGATTTACCCGACTAGATGAGATGAATTTAGTCGCTAGTCCGTGCAACAAGATTGTGAATTCTCAAGGACCTTTCGTTCTTGGATAAAAATCGAAATGGCTGTGTCGCGGACCAGCTGTCGGAAGCCTATCAGAAAAAAGACTGTCGATGGTGATAAGGCGGATATTTAATAAAATAATATTTTCCTAAAGGAGGCAAACAAATGCCTTTTAGCATGACCGAGACGATAAAACATGACAGGTAGCGAATGCTGGCGCAGACCCTGGGAAAACTGAATTGGGGTCACGTGGTAGCGCTGAGTAACAGTTAACGTGATTAGCTTGACTGCGTAAGATGGGACTTTTGCTATTGAGAATTCTCATTTAGTCCAGAAATATTTACATATGCAGCTAGTTGTCTGCGGAAAAAATCAGATATCGAAGGCTGTTTAGGAGGAAGAAAAATTCTTTTGTTTGGTTTTCTCAATATTTGACTGACAACCTGTAGAATATCAATTTATGCTGAGGTCTATAGGTTCAGACCAATGTTTTTATGTATGAATATTTGGGCCGAAGTCAATCAGCAGTAAAATAATGACCGAGAAATATTCAGTAACTGCCGACATGCAGCCAGTTGCATATTTTAAAGTTCAAAGATACTAGTTCGATACTAGTTAAAAGCCCATACGCACGGGTTTCGCCGATACTCTATCGCTGCAAGGTACAGCTGCGAGACGTTCGGCACTTCAGCAATTCCTTTGGAATTCCCCGGTTTGCACCTATGGAACCCAATATAAATGGATCTACTCCAAGTTAGTAGTCATTTTCCTAGCAAATTTAAAGCAACAATTGCTGAACTAAAGTGTCTACCAGATAGAACACGAGGAATGCTATGGTACCCACTGGACAGCCAACCTCAAGCAAATGTGCCAAGCGGCAGCAGAATATCGGTGAAGAACGCGTTTCTGTGTTTTAAACTATTACTTATGCTGATATTATGGTAATTTCTAGTGCTAAAATATAATGAGGTTTGTTTCGAATTTATTCAGTCAAGTATATCACTGACGACCAACTCGTACTTGAGACACAAACGTGACGACAGACACAGTGCAAATGTTCAACGGGTGGAATCTGTCCTACGGGCCATAAGTACTTCATCAAAGGAAGTTCATTTGTTTCTCACTTCCCGTCATCCCTAGTCCTTAGTGCTGGAGTATTTATTAAAGCATCAGTATACGTAGACTGACGCCTGGACTTGGAAAGGCAAACGGTAATCGAATTGGCGGCAAAAGTCAAAAACATGCAACCAACTGGCAGGCCAAATTAAAAGAAGACTGACACAGAGCCGGTTTTAGTATATTCCGCATTTATTTAGTCAGAAATAATCCTGTTCACCATATGGCAACGCAGTCATCTACACAAGGGCTGCGTAGATGGCTCACAGACGGCAACAGACGGCCGTTCATAGGCCCCTTAAGGAAATGATAGTGGCAAACACCCCGCCAGCTGGCATTTAAAGTCATTGTGGACAGTGTATACATTCCTGCCGAAATTAGCGCCATCTGATTAAAACAAAAACCGAATGTCACAAACAGACAACCAGCTGCTAGGTTTAACTCAGATAAAGCATGATGCCTACCGTGGCCGTCCATACGAGTTCTGTTTGTTTCGAAATACAAGTATATCGATGTGAGCCACTCTTGTGCAGTTTGTGAAGATTGTTAAATAGATAAACTCAAACGGGCGAAAAAGACTGTGATAAAAGAATGCAAACGAAAAAAATTGAGGAAAACATTAAACAAAGATTCCGGTGTAATGAAATTGATATCAACTGAGATTATTCTGACAGAATCCGCTTAAGGTTTGTAATTTATGGTGGAACCTATTAGCAGGCAAACGCAGTTAAAGGACTTTTGCTATAGTGTGTTTGGATTTCGCCGTCCGTATATATAGGAAAACGCTTAAAAGGAAAACTTTTGTTAACAGCAAATGATGCACGGCCTACACTGCCCATAAAATGAGAATATTCAGATTTTCAGTGCTAATTTTTATGCGGTAGACGTCAAAAAATATTAAGTACACATCAGTTATTTATCTTTTCAAACGAATCGTAAGCCTTGTTTATATTTTAAAGTCAAGCTGCGACATTCCGGTCGTCTCTGCCTACGTTGTCTACTGCGGCGACCGTCTGATGATGGATTCGAGTGAGAATCCGAAACCTCAGGCCAATAAATTTCTTGTACCAGTGATCACAACTTCGTTTTCTGATGTCTACTGTGCATTCCGCAGTAGAGTAAGAGGATCGGCGCGGATTTCCGCGTGAGTTAGTTTGGAGTGATAGTAGAGTTGTGCAGAATCTACCGCATCCTCCTCCTTTCCGCTGACAACACACAATTAAAAAGACCGGGGGCAGGAGCGGGCGCAGGAGGCCGACCCGGTTTGAACCCGCACCTAGGCGTACCGCCACAAGCACTCATCCACAGTGGCCAATAACCAGGAGTTTTTGCCTCAAAAACGTGATGGGAGAGAGGCGACATAGATTCGCAACTGACATTTGTTACGTGTTATGTCATAATCAGCCTCCTATTTAAGAGCGATTTGAAATTTTGTTTATAAATGCCGTTAATGTTTCATACATATCGGAAGTCGCCAATGAGGATACACCATGAAAAGAACAAAAACCTTACGTTTACTTTACTTTCTGTCCCCTCTTTTGTGTAATTTCATGCGTTTAGATTGTTGATTCTTCTCAATCTTTTGTGACTTGTCGGTCCGCCGTCTAAACGTGAGTTACGTGTTCTTCGTTTTTAGACTCTACCTCGAGAATGCCAAAAAGAAATTCCAAACCTCCTCCACTAAGAAGCAAACAAATAACCCTACCTTCGAGGAGTCCTTTTCCTTTCAAGTAAGCTTCACCGTTTCCTTTTGCATGCAGTCATCGCTGCTCGAAAACAGGGTTTCAACAGCCAAACGAACGATGCTCACTTGTAGTTGGTTTACTAAGTCACCCGAAGTTGGTTTGTCTACTTTAATGCGATTTATGTCGGAGAAATTTAAATATTTACTGTGGAACAGGTGGTCCTGAATTTTGGGTAGCTCTGAGCGCACCCAGGCAGGGATTGACAGGCAAAGAGTAGAAACTTACAACGGTGTGTAGCGCTTAATATGCGCCGGGTACCCATTCTCGTGTCCAGACTTCAAAACTAGCCGATATCTAAATCCCCTAAGACTAACACTAAGGCTTATTTTAACCACCTACTGTAATACGTGGAGAGAGGTCATATTCCTGTGCTAGACCGCACTGAAATCCAGCGGCCCTTGTATAATGGAAAAGTTCGAGAGCCCATCATAACGCATTTAGTAATTTTGACCGAAAACCGTCTCAAATACATTATGTAAATTTTCCTACGCAAGGAGAAACTGTGAATTCTTTATCGTTTTTGACCACTCGACAGCGATTTCTATTGATTGACCGTACGGCCTCATCGATCGGCTCAAACAAAAATAACAAAAAGACCCTGCGTCTGGCACGCGGCATATCTATCGTTGAAAAAAGCACCAAGGGCTAAATATATCATCTTTTTTCAAACAGCCCACAAAGAACAGCCAATGTTCGTCTCTATTTTCAGCTTACGTTTCGCGTCGTCAACAGACCACACCTGAGACAGTAAATTTAAAAAGGGTAAAGGAAGTGGATTGAAAAAGCAATTTTATTCGGAAAAATCATTCAATACACGCGCGTTTGACGATCAAATAATATCCAAATAGTCGGTATGACGGAAAACAACATTCTATCGTTTAATTCGAAGAGGTAAATTTGCATGACTCCTAAATAATCCTGCATGTATTTTAAAGCACTGGGTTTTAGTATACTGTAGGAAAGGCACTTATGAAGTTAGGTACGAAATCCAGCACGAATCAAAACGTAGATGTTAATGTTAAAAAAAATCAGAGTTGCGAAAATTCCCAGTAAAGAAATCAAAAGAAAATTTGGCGAGCATACTTCAACTTTTGATAAATCCGCTTTAGGTCTATATATTTATATTCCAATCCAAATTATTAAAAGGCAAATGCCGGAAAGCGGAAGATATTCAACTACAGAATAACTCCTACTTGCCAGCGTTTTTCTTTTAGTCATTTTGATAGCAATATAAATAATAGGTCTGAAGAGAATTTGTCGATAGTTTACGTATGCTCACCAAATTGTCTTTTAAGTAAAAGCACGCTAATCATCGCGAACTTTCGCAAAACGAAAACAATTCCGTGGGAACAGCTAAATAAAAAATGTTCGGCGAGTGAAATCAAAATCTTATCCTACTAGTCTTTCTGACTTACACTCGAACCCATAATTTGGAGACTGGAACAGATACGCCTTGGTGGGCATCAAAAAGTTCAAATATGTGTAGAAGTACTCTACTAAACAACAACGGACCTCGCCAAATCAACAGCTAACAAAATTGCTCAACACCGATGACTGCCAGCTTTTCTCCATCTGAGTCCTTGGTTGTGCAATTGGCACTCCAACAAAGGGATGGGTTGGATGCAGACGACTCACGGCGCGCATCTATCTGGCGACGCTCTGTTTGCAAAACCCACAATCACTCTCGTACATACGTGTGTGTGTCTGTATGTGGCACGTGGGCCCTCCAAAACGGACCACGTATTAGATGCGCTGGAACAACACGGGGCCACATCGGATTCTGGCAGGCGTTATCTCTGCGCAATAACAAATGCTAACATCTAGGGGATGCGTGGGCAGACCCTGTTGTCGGCAGTCGCCGCACAATTGGGACCAGTGTCATCACACCAATTTTTGTGGGTTAAAAACCTGGCCACTTGTTGAGAGGATCGGGGGGTGCGGAGTGGAGCGTCCAGGTGCGGACCAGTCCAAGCTATCGGACTGCGGCCTCCCTCATCTCCGGTCTTCTTGACTTTGTCTTAACGCCGGGCTCAGGTGGGGGAGGAAGAGAGAGTGTGGTAAATGCAGCGCAAGTCTGCGGGCACTATAAGGCTCAGTGCAAGTCACCGTCCCTGCTCCCACTAACTCTTGTGGGGCACACGGCGGACATCATCGAAATCGACTGTCGAGGTCTCGAATTAGGCACTTCTTGGCCGTTGGCCTACAGACACTTCGTGAAACCCCAATGTGCGCTGCGCAGGCCTACGATCGCTTTGACATTGCATTTTCGTTTAATCCTAGGACAGGAAAATAGAACTCCCGTAATACAGGTGACCTTGCCGTAAATGCCAGGATGATTAGCATTAGGGCTAATGTTAGGGTAAAGGTTACCATCAAGGTTATTGTCAGACCTATGATTACGCAAGGCCACCTCTGCTACCTGGTGTCCCTGTCTCTGTTACTGACCCCGTCTAACAAGGTGTGTGAGTGAATTGAGTGTGTTCTGTGAATGCATCTCATAGCCGGCCCACTCCCCGAGGCACGCGGCCAACATTTTACCTGTGACGGTCAGGAAGTCGCATTAGCTGTTGAAATATTATTGCCAATGTTGGCTCATTGGCGAAAAATACAGGACTTGCCAACTATGATAGACAGATTTTTACTTAACATCTGCAACCGATGTGCGTTTATTATTCTCCTTTATTGCTGTTGCTGATGATAAGCCGCTGTGTTAACCCAAAACTTTGGACACTGTATATTCCCGATCGAAAACCGACAGGGCAACGGGCTCGTGGCCCGGTGAGTAGAGGCGTTGACTTCTAAACCAACAGGTCGCGAGTTCGAGGCTCGGGTGTTCCACACTTCGGGCTTGGGTATGGCCGGCTGGCGACGGCTAATAAGCCAGAAATGGTCATTCCAGTCTCCCTTGTCTTTGTCGGTAATATCATTCTGCCTATATATCGTGCGCCGCTGCGCGGCTGCTGGTTGGGCTCGAGAGAGCCCTTAAGGCACAACGGAACGAGTGAGTTCCGTATGAACGATCGGTGAGCGCCCCCTTACATTGATTAAAACTCTTTTTGAATCGGTTTTGTCTCCTCCAGAATCGTACCTTTCTCCTAATTGCTAAAGGATCGAATTCTTAAAGCCGCAGGACGTAAATTACGCCCGTTCTTTCTCCCGGCATTTTAAATCCTTGTTAGTTAATCGTCTAACGTTGCTCCCACTAAGTTGGTCCTGCCATTTTGGCTGGAATAATTAGGATTTCCACGCATTTCCCGCATGCAACGAAAATCGTATGACATCTGCGACAAGCTAAACTGTACTTAAATAGATACTGCCCATTTTTTTCTCCCGCCAGGCCACGCTCTGTGTGCGATGCTGTACAACAGAATGAGTGCTGCGGTCACCGATTTGTCCGTCATATTGGATAAAGGGGGGTTAATTATCATTTTTTTCTGAAGTTACTGGTGGTCGCCTAGGGATGGGCGGCAAGCAACGTATGAATCGGATTTATCACTCCTGGCATGCTTATTGCTAATCGGCGATGCGGTATCGCGGGGTGGTATAACTTCGTAAGGGAATTTGGCGGCTAAATCGAACGTTCCGCCAGTTGAATCGGAAGTCATGTCTTGCCGGTTATGATTGTGGTTATAGGGCGTCGCCAATAGTGGCATCCTTTGATCTTTCCCTTACTATCACAAATAGCTCTAGAGTCACAGCATACGGCGACTGATGCCGTTTAGGGTTATCTAAGACAATAAAAAGATATTTTGAGTCGCCTAAGGATGCAGTTCTATTTAGAGCAGCCTTGCAAACCGAACTTTCCCTATAAGGTGGGACTTAGGCGATTCTAGAAAACCAACGACTCCATCTACCCAGTTTATATCAAGATAACGTTTAAACCTAAGTGATGGTTTTTTGGGTTGGTGTGCAAATATCAAACACACAAAGGAATTTCCTATACTGTTTCCGCATAAAGAATGTATGCGTAGGTTCTACATGCGTTGCATTTGCGAATATTTGAGTAAGACACTGATAAAAGTTGAATTTCCTCGGATTTTTCGTAAGTGCTGTAAAGCAAGCACGTATCGCGAACTGATAAGTAGATAACTATAACACAAATACTGGAAGACAGCATGCTTAATGCAGTCCCGGGTTTTTGACAGTGTTCTTCAGGTGTTCAGCAATCGAAAAACCGCAAAAGCTCTCAAAGTGATAGATGGGCGCAGTAAGGTCTTACTGCATTAAAAATTTAGCGGCATCAGCAGCGGCAGCTGGCGCGCCCCGATCTAACATCTATACGTTCTCGTCCAATCAGTCTTTCACCTATCTTCTCCATTTCAAATTCACCCCTATGACCGCCGTGCCAAAACTCAACCACCTGCCCCCTCCTCCGCTCATTTCAGATACCAGTTCACGAGCTTCAGAGTCAGTCCATCCGGTTCGAGGTTCTGTCGGTGGAGAGAACCAAACGCAGCAAAGTGGTGGGCTTCGTGTCCTTCCCACTGTCCGCCTTGCAGAAGTCCGAATGTCAGTGGCAGCCGTTGCGAGTCGCACGGGACCTGCAACTGTACGAACTATCCAGTGTGAGTTATCAACGTTTGCTAAGTCAGGACCTAGGTCGTCATGCCTCAAACATTTTGCTAGTCAGCGGCTGCCGCACTGTCTTCGCTTGCATATCGTAAAACATATATATCCAGCGGGCGGACAGAATGCGATCGAGCGAGATCCCAAAGAAAAAACTGCGGGATAGGGGCTTCCTAGGCCCGTTTATATACATCTGTTGAAACAGCTGCCTGCCTCTGGCGCTGTGTTTACCGAAATGCCGAAATGTGTTTTCGTTCGGCAAAGATTAATCAAGTAGGGTTGTAAAACTTATCATCGTACAGCATAATTTTATAACCCTTCACTTACCTCAGATTGCCGCCTTTCGAACATATTTCTTATCGGGTGAATTCAAAAAGTATACTCTGTAAAAAAGGACTACTTATATAGCGTGCATTTTTCTCATCGGTTTTCGATGCCCCTAAAAGTCTAATCATATTTCATGGAAAAAAGGCATAAAAATATCCATACTGTTGCTGATTCGATAGAAAATTACGTCGTTTTCCAACTTTATACTCCAAGGTAGGGCGCAAATTGGTTTTTAAAAAGTTTTAAATTGTGAGATTTTTTGACGGCTGTTCATAAAAGGCAATGTCTCTACATTTACCACTGTTCATCGTAAAGTGAACAATATGGCCTAAATCCACTGTTAACTATTATGAATCCCATATGTCCTCTTCTTAATATGGTATAGAAATATATAGTTTTCTGTAAGCGAAAAATATATAGTTTGTTGTTTGGAAACCCTGAATACAAGTGTTGAGTCAGGTCGTGTTCAAAATTATTCGGGAATTGTAAACGTTTCTGAAAATCGAATGATACTCTTCCTGCAAGTATAAAATTGGAAGAACAAGCTACTTCCTACCGAATGGACAGAAATGAATATTTATGTAATGTCTCCCTTTAAATAAAATTGAATATTTAACGGCATCGAAAATCAATGGGAAAAATGCAGGCAACATAAGTGGTCGTTTTTTCCAGTGTGTAGTTTCTGCATGCAGCGAAATAAAGTCCGTTCGAAAGCATGCATCCTGAGATAACTGAGTTATTATAAAATTACGCTGCAAGAATATCAGTTTTACAACCCCACTAAGTTAGTCTTTGCGAGGCGAAAACGCATTTCGGCATTTATGTTGACATTTCGTGGGTTAGCGCACCTACTATACTACTGCATGGTTTTATATGCCGCATAACATTATCAGCAAAAGCAAGGGAGGCTGAAATAGTATTTTTTGACGTGTTGGCTGCCATCCACCAGCCATACTTGACCTCGGGGTGTGAAACAATTTCAGTTGTGGTCTTTCGCAGTCTGCTGGCTAGAAGTCAAACTACCTAACATTTTGGCCATGAGATCATTGCCCCGTCGGCTGCAATTGGGAACAATTATAATGGCAGAGGGGTGCACAACGATCAGGACTAGGAACAAGGGAACGAATGAGTTCCACAATGGGAAGGAACGAAACCTTATTGAGTAAATATTACGAGGTTGTGGAAACTTACAAACGAAAAATTGGCCTCTCACCCACTCCTGGCAGGTAAGATTTCATAGCACCTGTCTGAGGTCTACATGTGTACTATAAATATCGGAGACTCCTTTGTCTGGGGCAAAAGTTATCGTCGGCGTCTGCCGTTCTAAAACAGGCACAACGCTTCCTGACGTCTGTGACTCAGATTAGTAATGTAGTAATCGCCGTACTGGGTTCGATGACGCTAAAAATAAATCTTAGGGAAAATCTATATAACATGGCGCGCACACCGGTTGTTTATTAACGCAAACAATAATCACGTATCGATTTTAAACCAGGCCTGAAATGCCGACTATTGATTTTACATTTACTTAATTTCTGCTAGAGGGAAGCTCATCGATCCTTCTTACGGAACCTACTCGTTGAATTGTGTCTTACGAGCTCTCTCTCGAGCCCAACCAGCAGCCGCACAAAGGCGCATGATACAGGCAGAATGGCATTACCGACAAAGACAAGGGAGAGTGGAATGGCTATTTTTGTCTTATTAGCCGTTGTCAGCCAGTCGTACCCAACTCCGAGGTGTGAAACACCTGGAGCTCAACACCGTGACACGTTGATTAGAAGTCCAGCGCCTCTAACCTCTGAGCCATGCGCTTGTTGCCCTGTTGGTTTCGATGGAGAATATACAGGGGTAGGAAGGTGCTCACCGGCCGTTTTTACGGTACTAATTAGTCCCGTTGTGCCTTGTAGTACTGTCACAAGCCTAACTAACAGCTGCACAGCGGCGCATGATATAGGTAGAACGTTATCGCCAACAAAGGCAAGGGGGAACTAAAGCGGCTATTTTAGGCTAATTAACCGTCGTCAGTCGGTCATATTCATCTGCCCATATCATGCGCCGCTGTGAGACTGCTCGTTGGGTTCGCGAGAGATCACTTAAGGCACAACGGAAGGAGTGAGTTCCGTAAGAACGATCGGTGAGCGCCTCTCCTGCATTGTGTGTTCCCGAACGCAACAGACAAGAAAACGATCGCACGGCTCAGTGGTTAGAAGCGTTGGACGTTAATCTAACAGGTCGCGAGTTAAAACGCCAGGGGTTCCACACCCCAGGGTAAGTTAGCACTGGTTGACGACGGCTTATAAGCCAAAAATGGCCAATCCGAACTTCCTTGTCTCTGTCGATAATAACGTTCTACAAAGCATCTGTCCACGACGTGGGAACCAACGTCAAACACCTACCGAACAATTTTCTATTTTTCAAATAGTGCTAACTGAATTTTAGAAATGGTCGCTGAGACACACACACGAAGTTCTTCTGCGCCTACGCGATCGACTCACGCAGTATAATTGCGCCCACAACTTTTGTTGTTAGTGGACGCTCTTTAGAGTGATTTTTCGAAGTCCGGTGATTCCTCGTATTCCAATGAAAATTTTTGATTGAACGAACATGATGACCAGAATCAACCATGTAGTCAAAAATGACACCAATTATACATCAAACTTCGCTTTTGTAAGCGGGGTTGAGATGTGGTTACGCATAGTTCTGTTATCATCTCCTGCGACATACCTGTAATCCATTTCACGGATCAAGCAAATAAGTTATCGAACATGCAGTGGATGTGAGCCGGCATCCTACACCTGCTTTCTGGAAGACCCACGCTTAGGAAAGTATTAATAATACCTACTTTCTTTTCTAACACACGTTTTAATGTGCCTCATTGTCATAAAATTGCATTTTCGCCATACGAATTGAGCAAAAACAAACATCTGTCGGTCCAATAGTTACGTTTTAAGTTACGAAATGTAGGGGCACCAATGCGACATTTTTCTTAAATTTTCTTAATGTTTATGAGAAATCCTGTACGCTGAAACAAACGTTTGCTGGATAATACTCCGGTGTTGAAAAAACAAAGAACATTCTTTTCTACGAAGTCCAGCATTTTTACACATTCGCTGAGTTTTTTTTATTCTAGGTTTTAAATTTCGTAATATGCATTTTCCCCCACAAAACATTATTACTGCTGCTTAAGTAATCGTGAAGTCAGTCGCTTGTGGACTATACATGTTACTAGGGTCCAGACTCATATATGATTTGTAGGAACCTTCAGATGCGGTCTTCCGCCGTTAATAATACTTGCATGAGACCACGGTTCCAGCTGACGCGCGCGGGGCAGCATTAACACAATTTACTGCAATCCTTAGTAGACTTAAGTAAAAAAATATATACGTATAGAGGAAAATTAAAATTTGGCACACGCACTTTTTCGGTTATTTCTAGCAAAGAGTTTGCGGTACTGCAAGTAAGTTACGATTGAGAATAAAACCACAAATAGGCAATGAGCGGTCGTCAAAGGAGGACGTAAGGGCCTTTAGACATACCAACAACACAGGGGTAATTACAAGAAATTCTGTTAGGCACCCGGAGAGGGGAAGCTGCTAGTGAATAGTGCTCGGATGTAGACGCTAGAGGTTGGGTCGGCCAACCGTATGGTGACTGTCTTAGTCGACGCGATTAATAGCTATTGTTGGAGCTGGAAATGGTTCTTTTGCATTTTAAAGAGAACTCGAAATCCCTAGTTGACATCTGCCCGGTGAGGGCCGTTAACCACGTCAGCCATAGTGATGCTAGTGATCGACGTTTTTAAAATGCTTCACTTACAGTGCGTGACCAATCTCATGAAATGTTGGCTGAAATTCTGAAATGCGTTTTCGATTAGGACGACTTAGTTGGTCGCGGTTGTGATACTCTTATAACATTTTGGACTCGACAGGATGTGGGCTTTTAAATGCACTTCTTCTCAATCTCGTGTAGAAAGCGTGCTTGGTAAAAAATGGCTACTAATGTAACATGCATTTTTCCCATTGACTTTCGATGGTCTTGGAAATTCAAATATATTTTATAAAATCCACAAATAAAAATATGCTTTCTTTAAGGCAATCAATAGAGAATCACGTCTTCTGTATATTTTATACTTAAGGAAGGAGCATAATTAGGTTTTAAAGAAGTTTTCTAATTGCCGAAAAATTTGAAGCCTGATCATTCGTTGCATTAGCGCTTAGTGATTACACTCTACAAGGTGCATGCGTTCCGCGTAAAGAAAATCCCATATTTTTCTATGCCATTAAAGAGAAACCATAAAGAGTCCATAAAAGTTTGTAATGGATGCAGACCATTTTGTACTTCCCTATGTGAATGTACATATCGCGGTTTTAAAAAGTCTCCTAATTAGAAACATTTTTAAAACCTAATTGTACTCTTTCCTTAAGTATAAAATATAAATAAGGCGATATTTTCTATTGATTGAGTAAAAGATAGCATATTTTTGTTTGTGGTTATTATAAAATATATTTGAATTTCCAAGACCATCGAAAATCCATGGGAAAATTGCATGCTACTTTAGTAGTCATTTTTTACCGAGCACGCTTTCTACAGGAGATTGAAAAGAAGTGCATTTAAAATCCGACATCCTGCCGAGTCCAAAATGTTATAAGAGTATGCCTTAAGACAATCAATATCACGACCGCGATTAAGTAATCCTTCCTAATCGAAAACGCATTTCAAAATTTCAGCCAACTGTTCATGAGATAGGTCACGCACTGTAGCCAGGAGAAATATCAGGTTTTCGTCCGTTTTGAAAAACGCCTTATCTGTCAGCCATAATAACCTGCCGCTTGGGAGCAAGTGAAGACGTAAATGCAAATTTAAGCAGATCGAACGGACAGCCGATCCAGTCTTTCAAAGCTTAAAATCAGAATGCGTGAGAAAGTATATAGGATTTAAACGGACGCGTACGTGATCGCAATCGCAGTATTAAAGCTGTTTCGTAGAAGTTCGCCGTCTAGGTCTCCCGCCTTCCGATAAGTTATTGTGAACAAAAGTTTCTTCATTTTAAACATAACCTCACCCACGTCTTTTGGGGGTTCTTGAAATATTTCATTATAAGCCTTTCGGAAAACGTTTTCCTGCACTGTTTTTTTATAAAGGCGAGTTTGTTCTCCAGCTTTTCCAGTGTGCCTATTTTCCCTAGCTCGGTTTGTTATTCAACGGAGTAAGCTTCACTTCTGACGTACAGAAACGAAACTGTGAAAGTGTGTATTTTACACTGCTCACGGTTTCCTGCTAGTCACTTTCTTACTAATTGTTCTACTAATTAGAACGTCTAGAAAAGGGCGACACTGTTTTTTCGCCTATATCAAAGCGAATATAAATGATGGGTGAGCTTGATTCTATTTGTTCACATGGGTGCTGATGAAATTACTCAATGGCGGATCAGAGGCTAGGTCTAGATACACCGCGGGACAAAATGAGTCAATACCACCCAGCGCAAATCTTCATTTTGGAAATAAAATGGAGGGATTAGTGGTCCCCCCTTTGGAGATATACAAAGCAGAACGTCTTATGGAAAAAGTAAGAGATTGCATTTTGCAAGAAAAAGGGACAGTACAATGCATAGGTCTCTATAATTCTAAAGTTTCTCTGTGTGCTCCACTTACTTGTGTTATTACGCAGGTTTGATGGGGAAAATCGAAAAAGTACGTTCGTATGGATTTTTTGCGTAAATATATTCGCAGAACGCTCCAAAATAATTCGAACATCCGGGCCGGGTTTATAAGACCTTTCTGGCCACGCAGGACCGAAAACAGGCGGCATCCGCTTTGATGCCGCTGCCATTATACAGATGACAAAGACCAGCAGCAAAGAAAACCGTCTTTATTCAGCACATGTTGCTGTAATTTAAACCGACAGGGGGGAGGAGAACGAGGGTTGTTGTTGTTATTGTTGTTCTTCTTCCCAGTTGTTTTTTTTTTCATCGTATGTTTAGCATCTACTAGTCATTGCCTGCGTGCAGATGGCGTGGTTTCCCAGCATTCATTTTAAGACACCTATTTATAGTTCTGTCCCCGCGAACGGGAAACCAGTACTATCTCTAAATAAGGTCGATTAGACATCCCAGGCGGCTGCCGAACTCCAATTTATATGTCACCCCTCCGTCGGTCTTTTGAAGTAGAGTTGCAGGGGGAGGTGGAGGAGGACACGAAAATAATAACTAGGTGTAAATACACACACAACACCGTATATCCTCATCCGGTTTGGACCGCCGGTTACGTTGGCTAACGGAACATGACTGCTAGCTTCAGGGAGCCGATAATGAGGGTTAGGTGTCAGGCGAAAACAGCAAGACGCAGTCGCTATTTACGTGCTGAGAGCTAGCACTCATGCACTGTTGCTCCAAACTGGACATCCCTATGCTACACAGAAGTCGAGTGCACAAGACGTGATTGGAATCTCAGAGCAGAATCTTCAAGTCTTTCAGAAGCAGGGGCTGAGAACAAACAATGACAGTTTTAAGGTCGTTGTCGACGATGTTCACCGTGTGTTCAACAGCTGAGTGAAACCAGGGACGATGACTTGTGGGCAAATTTGTTTAGAGTGAAGGCAGACTTTCACAGCATTTTCCGCACTCTTCCTCCGCTCCCGCCTAAGCTCAGTATCAAGATCTAGCCGAGAAGACCGAAGGCCGGAGAGGGTGCAAGTGGCTGACACTGCTGGACCCGCACCTAGGCATACCACCGCACACCTCTAGTCCACCAAAAAATCTCGACCATTATCTTAACAAGCAAAAACTCGGCCGAAAGAGATGGATAGCACAAGTCAATGGGCGACCATGCACATGACCTGTACAACCAGCGGGAGCGCTCGTTGTCTTGTCTGTTGCGATCAGGAACACACAATGCTGGGGAGGGGAAGATAATAACTAGGTGTGAAGACTCACAATCAAAACCGCATATCCTCATCTGGTTTGGACTGCCGTTTCCGGCGGCTAACAGAACATGACCGCTAGATGGAGCTTAGCTTCTGGGAGCCGCTAATGCGAGTTAGGTGTCACGTAAGGACAGTGAGAAGCAGCCGCTATTTACACGTTGAGAGCTAGCATTCATTCACTGTTTCCCCAAACTGGACACTCCTGTGCTCCACAGAAATTGGGTGCAGAAGACTTGACTGGACTCGCAGAGCGGAATCTCCGTCCTAGCCTAAGCTCAGTATCAAAACCTAGTCAAGAAGACCGAAGGCCGGAGAGGGCGCAAATGGCTGACACGGCCGGGCCCGCACATAGGCGTGCCAATAAACCCCTCTGGGCCACACAATAGTTGACCCGGGTTTTAGCCAACAACTAACACACCCCTCTACTCCACAACATAAGCGTTGACCATTATCTTAACAAGCAAAAAGTCCGCCAGAAAGAGATAGTTAGCACAAGTCAATGGGCAACCATGCCTACGACCTGTACAACCAGCGGGAACGCAAGCGCATCCTACGCTAGGGAGTCAGGTGCCTAAGAGCGGTCAGCGCTCACCAGGCTGTGATGACCGTGGTTTGCTGAGTCCTGGGATAGGGGACGCATATATTCCATTAATCCAAGAGAGGGTGAGACGCTAACCTGATTTTTAGCATCGACATATTGCAAAGCCATTATACGGACAGGCTGGGACAAAAAAACGGGCAGCATATGAGACCGCCCCTTCTTCAAGTTTACTTAAGTCACACCCAAACCAGTAACCAACACTGGTGGCTGTTCCCTGAACCGTCGTGTGTAAGGGCAACGTGTATACAATAGACTTATGAGGTCCGGCCATAAGGTGTCAACAGCTCCTCAACCGGTGGTGCCAACGTTTCACCGTCCAAAACATATGCAATCTCAGTATCGGCTATTTTTCGGTTAGACCTCCAGTGCAGACTGCTTACAATCGGTTTATTCCTTAAAGAAAGCGAGAAAGTAAAGGTCGAAAGTCATACTTCATCATAACTACAAACTATGTTCCCTACACACTAGCCGTGTGAACCCACTCAAGTAATCATGTCATTCGAAAAACAAACATAAGAGGATTACGGATTAGTTCTTGGCGTCAATCACTCACTATCGGGGTTACCATCGGATGCTGTCCCAGTAACTTTTCATGTAAGCAGCGGGAGACTTCGCCTGTCCACATCTCCGGATAAGCAAATGGGAAAGATTCAAGTTAAACAATTAACTAGGATTTACTCGGCCGGTAGTTTAAGTCAAAATATAGTAAATCTAAGTCATGAGTCAAAAAGGCAAGCCAAAGAGCGAGGTTCTTCTCGTGGAAACACGCTCTTTGCATGCCCTAAACTACTGTTGTGATTGTAACGTAACATCTTTAGGGAAATGCAATTTATGAAGAGAATGAATTGCTAAAACGACTTTTCCCGAATGAAGCCTTTCATAAAGACGACAACGTTTGTGCTAAAATAACGCCTACTGATGGGCCGGCACGATTCTTTGAAAAGGCACCCGGCATAAACATCACGGAAAGGAGACAGGCACTGAATTTCGTGAAATGTCCGTCTTTGTTTAAACGAAAGACTGGGGAAGGTAGCAAAAATAGCGAGTTCCCTGGGTGATGGGCGTGGGCGGGACGGAGGAAAGGGCGTTAAAATTGTTCTCACTTATGACAACAGTCTTTATTTTTCTTTTTCCAATACAAAGGCGTGTCGCAATGTAGCAGAAATTGAAGTCTTCTCCTCCAGCAGAAAAAGATCGCATTGCAGTTAAATACAGTTTGTCTTCTTCCCCCCTCATCCTAATTCCCATCCGCTCTACTGCGTCTCCTTACATGAATCAGATGATTGCTTCTATTATCAGGGATAAGATGTCAGACACCAGCACGACGGACCTGTTGCATACAACAGGGAGCAGAGAGCGCTGGTGACACCGGTCGAATGCGAATGGGTGGCTGTGACCTGTGCTAGATCATGTCTGCAAGAGGGCGAGAGAGGGAATACGAGCGTATTGGCGTCGACTACTTTCATATATATATATTTGAAAGCAAATACGTTTTTTGAAAAAATTAGAAAACTTCCTTAAGCAAATGTGCTACGCTTGCTCCACAGATCGTCTTCAGACCCGAGCAAATATGCAAACAACAATCAACATTTCAAACGTGCTTCAACAGCAATATTCATTTGGCGTTTGCGCCAGTAAACGGCCTCCTAGCGACCTGGAGAACCAGCGTCAAAAATTTCTAAATAAAGTTTTCTATTGTCAATAGAAGCGAAGAGCCGAGTCCCAGGAAGTAGTCTTGAAGAAGGAGACACGATCGCCGGGACAAGAGCTTTATTAGCCTGACGTTTCGGATTCCTGCTCGAATCCATCATCCGGTTTCTCCGACGTAGTTGCTTTGTCCGCAACTGCACCAGCTCCGAACGAGAATGGCCGAACACGCGGCAGCGGTGCGCAGAAATGACGCCAGCTCTCAAGTTGCAGCTCATTCGACGGGATCCGGCCACACATTTAAATTCGATGAGGCCGAAATTCTCGCAAGAGGTGACAACCGAGTGAGCCGGGAGCTACTGGAATCATGGTTTACTGGCCCCCAGTCCATCAACAAGTGCTACAATCTTCCCATTCTATACTCCGTACTGAAACTTTGCCGAGGCGGGGTAACAAGCCATGCGGGGAGCGCAGAGGTGAACACTTTTCCCAACACCGGGGTCGATGCGTCAGATGGTCGAGCAATCATCACGCCAACATCCAACGCACGTGATGAAATTGCAGCAAGTATCGACTCGAATGTCGGCCATCAAGCAATCATCACACCAAGTGCGCCAATCCCGGATGAAGGGGAGAGCCGTGAACGTTCATAGGTATGCGGTAGCATGGCAACTGCATCCTATAAATACTGCAACCGTATGTGCATGAACCACCCTTATCTGCTTATGTCTCTGATGATGGATTCGAGCAGGAATCCGAAACGTCAGGCTAATAAAACTCTTGTCCCGGCGATCGTGTCTCCTTCTTCAAAAGTTTTCTTTTTTTTCCAAAAAACGTAGTTGCTTTCAAATTATATTTTTTGGGGTCTGCGTTCCAAAAAATATGCACCATATAATTACCGACAAAGACATACGAGATTGGGTGGGCCATTTCTGGCTTATTAGTCGTCGTCAGCCAGTCATACCCAAGCCCAAAGTGTGGAACACCTGTGGCTCAAACTCGCGATCCGTTAGTTAGAAGTCCACGCTTCCACACTTCGGGGTTGGGTATGACTGTCTGACGACGGCTTATAAACCAGAAACGGCCATTCCAATCTCCCTTGTCTTTGTCAGTAATAACATACTGTCTATATCATGCACCGCTGCGCGGCTGCCGGTTGAGTTCGAGAGAGAGCCCGTAAAGCACAACGGATCGAGTAACTTCCTTAATAACGATTGGTAAAGGCCGTCTACAATATATTTACACAGGAATGGGCGCACACCGATCTACTCGTTTCACGAAGCAAACAAGCTCCGTATTTTTGGCAGGGGGCATGAGCAGGCAAACAATTACCAGGTCGAAGTAGGCCAAGTCATTATAACACCTGGGGGGTATGACAAAGTATGCGGGTAGATTGATACAGTACTGGTTCGGGCTTAGTTAGCCTTTATTTACTCAACCGTAACCCTGACCAGCAGCTGGGAACAGAAACACAAACATGCTCACAGAAGCACATGGAGAATTCGATCCACCACTGGGGTCTACCAGATGGGTCATAAGAACTTTATCGAAGCGAAGCTCTACTTTTCCCAAAGCACTTATTTGCTTTCAAATTATTTTTCTTCAGCTGATTGCGTACCAATATATATATATGAAAGGAAGAGCCGATCTCGGGAACCATAGTTGTATTGTCCTGACGTTTCAAAATCAAACAAGATTTCATCGTCGGAGGTGAGTTTTGTACCACGCCTCACAGTATTTATAGGTGGTGATGGTCTCCTTTCAACGAGTTTACCTCTGGTCGGGGGCCGGCGTTCGGGCGCTAGCTGTCATCGCACGTGTTCGCATGGATCTTAGTTCTTGTCTTAGGCTGGCAATCTTCTTTACGACCTTGTGACGGCCTGTGTTCTCACCGGCCGGATGCATACTGGAAGGTAGGCATCCAAAGAAATGTAAGTTAAAGGCAGAGGCGTTCTTTGGGAAAAGGTACTTTACTGCGTGAATTTTCGACGCCTGGGGAACCGGCGTCGCAACAGTAGCATTCCGAATGAAAGTTCGTGACCTAGAGATGTCCAACATCGATTCAAATTAAGGCGGAGCATTTACCTTCAAGGTTACGATCTGGCCTCATCATAGGTTATGGTAAGTTAAATCTATATCCTCGGTGCGACGTCTACCCTTGCAGACATCAAATACTTTGGAATAATAATCTTCTAGAAAAATTTGCTCGGATGAGCAGATATTACTTGCCGAGTTATGCAGGATGCGGGATCTTCTTCCTCACATACCCAATTTATCGAATGATTGATGTAGTTAAACGATCACCTCATGCATCCCACTTGCAGGTTTTCCGAATTGCTCGTTAATGTTATGCGATTTTTTCAAATACTTTTCAATACAACTGCTGTAAAGCGAAATTCTCTTCGCCAAAGTATTCACTAGAATACTTAATCGAGACTCGCAGCACATGCATTTACATGCTAATCAAAGGAATATAAGTAGTCACTTCGTTTTTGTACATGCTAATCTCTTCATCGCATATCATAGAAACAGATGCTGAGAAAAATTGTTTTTTTTAAATTTCAGTTTCCCGGAAGTATAACACTAATGGTGGCCCTTACCTACTTTCCAGCGACCAGTCGTCTTACGGTTGGCGTGTTTGAGTGCCAGAATTTGCCCCTTAAGTCAAACGGATTTTGCATTGGTAAGTGACGTTTAACCTTGAAACGTGGCGCATCTGCGGGTTACTGTGTAAGACATCTAGTTTTGAGGTGAAAGAAACTAAAAGTTCAGACGTTTTCTTAAGCAGGATTTGATGTTGCTGTCAGAATTTGCATCTAAACGTAATGCTAGTCCGGCAAAGTTTTGCGGCAGGGTTGACGCGAACTACGCGGTCTAGCTCAGCTCTCGATGACAAGGGCGACTTTTTGCTTTGCAGATGCTTGCCTGCTCATGACATCTGCAATTTTGCTTGTAGCCCATCTGCCTTACGAAGGCAGACAAGTCTTTTTTGCCCCGTTTAAGCATAAACACATGCCATACTTATTATAGAGCAAATGACAGGGGCATTGATGAATTACCAGTGAGCATATTTGTAAACCATTCGTCGGGGGTAAGATCTACTGCAAAGACCATGAATATATCTAAAGCTTAAATGCAAGAAAGACTTAAAATTTATCGACGTCACTCACTTTTGTAAACCCTACACCATTTGGACCATCAGTGGGGATTTGAAGTGAGAGCAACCAAGCCAAGGAATGTAATGGCAGCTCAAGAACGTTCTATGGCGAGAACACTCATTGTTGCAAATTTGAAACAATTGTTGAAATTTGGAAGGGTCAGTGACCATACTTCATATGCAAGCTAAGGTTCAATCTGGGGAAATGGCACCACATTCATTTACAAAATAAACTTCATGCTTTGCACTAAAAATTCATATGTCTGCTGGAAAATATGCGTCCCCCAAGGAATATAACTCGAAAAAAAAATATCCAAGGAAATCGATGAATAATTATGTGTTCTGACAGATGCCAAATAAACCGTTTCGACCCAACTATAAAAAAACTCGGCGACCACAATTGCAAGATCAAGGCTTGAAAACTCGGCCAATCCTCTAACTGCCCAAACTACGTGGCCCAAACGTGAGACGTGAGTTTGGTCATATTATGGCCAAGTTACCCGCCCAGCCCACTGCAAGCTATGGAAACCACCAGCAATGATACAGTAAAGTGACCGTCTAAGCAGGGTTTTCTAAGTAGTCAAAATAAATTATTCAAAATTTTTCATAATACCTATCACTTACACGAGCCTGGTAATAACGTGGCGGATTCTAGATAGTTTACTTAAAAAAATCATGCTTAAGCAGTCAACCCTTTCTATAAGATTTAGCAGATTCCATACGTTGCAGGAGTCTGGGCGAGTATCCTTACTCAAATTTGTCAAAATTCCCGGCTCCCAGTGGGGCCTTGTAGCTCATGTGGCTAGAGCATTGGCTGAACCAAAACCTGAGGCCGCCGAGTTTTTAGCAGTTGAGTCAAAATAAAAGTCAGCAAAGTTTACTTCAAGTAGATCTTACACCAGTCCCTGGCCCGTATTTGGACGTGTATTAACCATGCAAATCAGTATCAGTTTCGAACCTGTCTGAACAGTTGGCGCTGTTTTGCCATTCGTTTAGGAATATCTTTGCAATGGGCTGAATCCCGATCCGATTGGCTATCACCTACGTGTGGATAACTTCTTATTCAAAATGCGACTGATGCATGAGTTAACGGGCGTATAGTATTGAGAAATTTTTAATTTCCTTTATGGGCGGACACCATCAATGTGTGTTTTAATATAAGCAGTTGTTTCTCTGGGTTCTAGCGTATGTACGACGATTAAGGGCAAGTAGTCTGACCACTTTATTTTTGTCTGATATTCATGCGTGCCTGTACAGGCCGAAGTTGTAATTTGACCAAAGTATTCTGCATTGTAGTGGCTGCACGGGACCTTGTTAGCAACGTATCTTGACAGAACTAGTCACCCCTATCCTAAGTCACTTTTTGTGGGCCATCTTTTATTAGTGTTTCCTCGGGCGTATCAAAGTTTTCAGGCAAGGGGGCAAGGGAGCGTGCGCTTATTTTAACTTTTTTGCTTAGTGTGAATTGCCTAGTTACTTGTCTTTTTAATCCTTGGTTTTATGCTTTGATGGACAAATTCTTCAGGATACCCATTATTAGAAAAACGTTTGAACAAACATTTAAGATCTATTTGATAACTTTTGTTACCAGAGTGTCGTATATTTGCTCGAATAAGTAAGCAGTAAACGACAATCCGTAAGTGAGCAACAGATTAGTTGATCTCCTGATGTAGAATGACGTTCGCATAGGTTATTTTGCGACAAAAGCATGTCTTTAATGTTTATTTAGTCAGTAGATGTGTGTGAACTCCGGAAACGATAGGTAATTGCCAACGCATTCTTAAGGGTAAATGGGAATCCTGGTAGTTTTGAATTAATGTCACTGTGAGACATTTAAAGATGATAGGTTTTAATGAAAAAAAGATGGCATCTCTACGGCATATCCATAATCTTGTATTAATTAACGCCAATGGCGAAGCTTTCAAATTTTGCATCCTGAATTCGGCAAAAACGCTCGAGTTAGATGACCACATAAGCTTTCACTTGAACTGTTGATAGCATTCCTATGAGAACAAAAATAGTCTCCAGTCAAAAATTCAGTAATCTCAACAACGTTTTTTGCAGTAACATCTATTTTGCTGAACTGGCGGAGTTTGTTCAGGCAAAAAATTGGTGAATTCGGTGTAAAAGACGTAAAGAATGAACCAAAATGCGAGGGCACAAAAGTGACGCCCTAAAATAAGGATGCCTGTTTAAATAAAAAGAAGGCTGTTAGCAAGATCCCACGCGAATTTAACAATGAGGTCTACTGTGGTAAGCTGGAATAAATGCCTGGGCACGCATACACGAACATCAGTCTGAAGTAAAATGGCCGGAGTACCTGCCCTGAGTCGCCAGGCATGCAATAGACACTATATTTTAATGTGCTTGTAATAAAACACGCCTCGTTGACGTAAAGAATTTCTCAAAGCCATACACTCCAATGACTGGCACATTAAGTGGCCTGTCGGACTTGACTATAGGTACCGTAATTTTAAGAAAACACTAAAAAGACGACACTTAGTCCGACCGGAACGTCAACCCGCATCCATGGTTCATTAGCATGAATTATAATGCTATACCGCCTATTCAGGACGGTTTATAATGGGCACCGTTTTTCGTATTTCCTGTATGTCTGTTAAAAACCTTGCGGCCAACATCAGAACTTTACGAAGCGGAGCTTTTTGACAATCCCAATGGTTATTTCTGACCCGTTTGCAGTCATCAGCCAAACGCACCTAACCACAGATGTAGAACGCTCGAGATTCGAACTCGAGACCTTCAGTCATTAGACCTGGTTTGACCGTGCCATCCACTTGCGCCCTCCGCGCCTCCGGTCTTGTCGACCCTGTTGTGGCACGGAGCCCGACTAAAGGGAAGAAAGAAGAGTGAGGTAGATGCTGTCCAAGTCTACTTTAACTAAAAAACTAATTCCCTCACAAGTCATCCTCCCTGCTATCACCTCGATTTGGAGCACCCGATGGGCATCGCCGGCAACGACGGTCAACTTGTCGGTTGATAACCGCTCTTCTATCACGACAAAGTATTCTCGATAACTGCTAAATCACGTACTTTTAGCTTTCTTGCTAAATAGCGTGAAACACTAAATTTCACTGCATTGGGGAGATTTATAAAGCACTGTTTTCGGATACGAAAAACTATCCTAATATAATTCTTCAATTTACATAGCTGTGTACGCAAAAGTCGTAGTATGCAAAGGAATCCAAGGAAAACTGCATAAAGCCAAACGAACCCAACCACTTGAACAAAGGAGGAGTTTTGACGAGTCCTTCACCTTTTCGAAAATCGAAGACCCCTCAAACATGAACGTCCGCATTGTGCTCATGCAACAAGGCTTTATTGGTAAGTGTGGACACTGAGATCCCGGTTATTCTTGATTTTAAGTCATTGTCTAAAAGCGTTCTTTGAACAATCTCCGTTCTGACATCAAGGCCGTACTCAGTTGAAGGTAGTTTATATCCTGCACGTTCATGTTCACAAGTGAGTCGTGATCGAACATGAAAATAATCATCCCAAAGCGATAAAATATTCACTTCATTTTCGAGGTTTGAAAAAATAATTCTCCGGAAAATTCAAAAATTGAGCTAATACGCCTCTGAAACACATCCGGCCGCATCCAGGTATTTGCATGATTAGTGTTTAACCTGTGGTATTGTTTCCCCTTGCATCATAAGATGAGTAATTGGAGTTCCCAACAGTGGCGTAGCCTGTATTTTTTTAGAAGGGCGTCAAATAACGAAGAATTTAGGCACTTGCAATGGTCAAGTGCTCAGGGCCCATAGTTTGAGCCAAATGACAACGGCATCCGCTTAATACTGTTTATGCGCGTGAGTTGGTCGCAATCCAGGATTCAAGCATCGCCCTTTGATTGAAAGGTCAGGCAAAAATAGCGCTCTGTTAGGTTAACATACAAAAGAGCGACTTCATGGAGGTTATCGACAAAAACAGATCAGGACGTCGCTTCCAGGGCGGTCACTCAAACATTCGTTTACCAGCAACGCTTGAAATTGGGCCTCCGGTGAGTACCTGATTGAAGATAACTAGTCATAATACAAACCATGGACACAAAGATTTCGGTGTTCTTTCTCCAAGAAATATAATTAAAATTTCAGATCCCGAAACAAACGAATGAAATAAGATTTGTTTAATCTACTGTGTCGTGTATAATTCGACCAGTCGGAAGACAGCACGCTACTGGCACACGTTTCTTACTTATAAAAATGTCCAACCTAGTTATGCAATAGTTGTCTTCTGGCGTAAATCTAATCAAAACGTCCAGCGTTTCTGAACCTTCCTACTGCACTCTATTTAGTAGCAGCGTCAAAGAATCAGAAACCCTGCTTTTTTACTCTCACTGTCAATTTTGAAAATAGCGCTCAAATTGTCGATATCAGCGGAAAGATGATTAAAGAAACAAGATTTGAATTCCCCAGATGTTTCTGTCACTAAGAGGTGCAATACTTACACCCGATCAAGCGTTTTCATGCATAGCATTTTGCGACTTGGATGCGCGCAAGCACACAGTAATCGCGGCAAACATGGACTCCGATGATGCGTATAGGATTCCTTAAATATGATTGGTGTGTGGTTAGGCAACGGCCTCATTATATAAATATTTCATTCCCTGTGCGTGAATTAGTTCTAGCTGTTATTAATCCTGATGATGTGATCGTAAGAGAATACAAAACTTTTGGTGAATGAAATTGCTGAGCCTGCGATTTTGTCCCATTTTCCACAACTGTTTTCTGGAAATCATTCCAACAACTACAGCGAATTTATTAACATTATTAATTTCCCAACAGCTCAAGTGTCGCTTTTAATCACTTCACTATATGAATAACACGTACTGTACACGCACCTAATGCCTGATCTCTTCAGAAAGCTGGTAAGATAATTTACCTATATGGCTTTCACAATTACACAACAAAATCATGCGTTCATCTGTCGCTAAGCTCTCTCTCAATAGTAGACACCCTGTCGGCCCTGCGGACACGTACCTGGTTGCCCTTCGCGCATAAGGAGGCATGAATACGTACGGGCGGTTGCGTAAATCAACAAACTGAGGATCGCTAGGTCGAGGTCAGGTTTACCACATGACTTTAAATGTATTTGAGGAAAATTGGCTTACGCCTCCGGAATCACAGTTTGTGTATAACAATCGAAAAATTAGCAACAAAATGAAGAAATTCCAGCGGCAAGTGAATGCAGCCATCGATTCACATAGAGCACTAAATTTCTGGTCAAAAAGTCACGTATCTCGTTCGTCGGTGAAATATATGCCTCTCAAGTCAATATTTAAATGCTTCCACAAACTGAGACACTTCAATCGCCTCAGGCAGGTTAGTCTATGGTTCCACGACACGGCTGGAGTATAAGTACTTTCTCACATTCATTTTCCTTTGAGAACATGTAGTTTGAACGGATGTACCCAAACGTTATTTGTGATGGCGTGTTAAAAAGTCACCACACCGGAGGGGCTAGTCTAAACCACGCACGATGCGAAACGTTTATATCAGGTTTCCGCGCAACTGCCTATAACGTAGAGGATAGTGGTTAAGGTTATTCAAGCAGGTCTCGTAAAGAATTTTTCTTTGACCTCTTGCTAATTCTGTGGCTCGCCTCTGCTTTACCGGTTTTGCCCTCTGCTTCCAGGTATCTCAGTGTTTGACTCCCTCGTGCACAATCCAGTACTCTAAAGGCCCCTTTTAGTTTAACAGAATGCCCATGGTCTGCACAGCATCTGATGGTCAGTGGTCTTGACGTTTTGGTGCCGATAACTTCTGTTGTGTAAGATCGATTAAAACTGTACGAAGTGCGAATTCATTGAAAAGGTGGTTAATTTCAAGTGTACGCAAACATAAATTTTCAGAGAAAAGTAGAATTAGTTAACTGCGACCTGCGAAGGTGCAATAATATCAGCATCAACAGCAAAATTTAATGATGCCGAAAGTTTGCGGGGGTCTTTTTGTTGCCTACTCACATGATTACTAACGGTCAGATGTGGTTATGTAGCCCCACCTGAGGTAAGCGAACACCGGCCACCTGTAATACGAGATCGCTGGTAGTAAAGGTTTTTACAGGTGGGACCACGGAACGCACAGGTGACGAGGTGAAGTACTTGTGTGCAAAAGAAAAGTTATTGTGAATGCGCGGTTGTATTTTGAGTAATCGGGAAATAGTTGTCCTAACCCATAACCGTAACCGTAACCCTAGCCTCTAACCCTTACCCTAGTCCCTAGTCCCAACCACAACAGCATTGTGCTCATCAGGTTGGTCTACATAAAAAATCATTCCGCAATAACAACTGGAAAATTAAAAAATTGCTTATATTAAAAATTAATATAGAACTGGTAAATTGGTATGGATTTCTTTAAATAAGCCATCTTTCCTGTATGCACTTTCGCAAAAACGGAAGGTCACCTTAATCATACACTCCATATTCCGAAATAATAACCTGGTAAATCTATATTTGCGTTATATAAGATTCGATTTTGCACTGTGAAAACAAAACCTCGTCTAACTTCTGTTCAAAAAAAGCTAGAAATATTGCTCCAATTGCACGTATTGTGCAGAAGCATATCATGAATTGACGCAACACCCAGTTTCTAAAACGCCATCATATTGTTCCGGCCTTCAAATGAAAAAAGCATTACAAACATGACCGAGCCACGGCAGCCGATGCTTAACTTTAAGGTCTTCCAATGCAGTTCATATTCTATTTGAAAGTAGTATGAAGTCTAATCAAATTAACTAGGGAGAAGGTAGCTGCCATTACACGTCACCTTTCGATAGCAATTTAAAGTTAAAATATGCTTGGGGATGCAGGTACATTGGGAAAACACAGAGTAAATGACTGACTGCCCAATCAGTAATTTAGCAGAACGATTTTTAAAGACAAAAAACAAATTCCATCCCACGCTGTTCCCATAGTGGACACTATTTTGGCCCAGCCAGCAAGTACACCGTAGTTATGGCGGTGGTTTTACCGATTCGCATAACCGTTACTCCTGTGTAAATGAAAAGTCGCCTATGAATAATTGAATTGCTCACAAACACCTAACAGCGAAGACCAGGTAAAGTGGTGGCGGTGGCCAACCTTGATCTGAGGAAAGACGAGGTGATTAACCACTCCAAACTCTGGGAGTAGTCGCGCAACAACCGACTTGTGACAAATATTACGGGTCGAGGATCAGAATGGTAGCGGTCAGACGACTAAATTAAGTTCGTCTTGCCCTTATTCAGCAAACGTGTTGGCGAAGAAATAACCGTCTCAGCCTCTTCATTCTTTTTGGCGGAAAGCCTCCCTACGCTTAATTGTCCACCGTCATTCTGCAGACTGTGTGGGCTGTAAGTCGAGACAGTGCGATGTCTAATTCTAGGGTCCGAAGGATAGAAGTTGAAGTTGTAGGGTTGTAGGCCAAAAGTTTAAAAAAAGCCGAATTCGCCGGGATTGTAAATCACGTTAGGATTGCTCCAGCAAACTCTCTAACTACGTGGATTGCGAGGGTCGATTGAGAGTTCCAGGTATTTTCGACTTTTTGATAAATTATTTACCCAACCTACTGCGGCGTATACAGGCATTACACTCTGTCTGTTCAAGAGTCATATGTAAACAGCCCGTCAGGAAGCCCCGAGAGAATTTCCGGACAAGTAATTAAACAGGCGTCTCCAGTGACAACCAAACTGGTTAGATATTTGCGCAAAATTTTCGCAAGCAAATCACAAGGGTGTTGAGCAACGACGGCCATTTGCGCCCACACAATTAAACAGGCGTATGTGGCAGATTTGAGCAATCTACTTTATTTGGTTTTTGTGCTTACAGGGGTGACAAAATGGAAAATCGGAATAGGCGTCCTTGATTTTAGTCGAAGTGTGGTTTAGAGCACTTGCCGCGGGCCTCATGACGACGAAAAGCTTATACTCGGAATTCGCTAATAAGAGAGTACGGTATAACATTTTTACGGTCAACCCAAAGACCAAGACCACCGAGTTCTAATTTTGAATGCTATACGACAGTCAATTCAGGCAAGCCGAGCGCAACAATTACAGCTCCTAGCGCCTTCCTGATTAGTACCTGTCAACAAGTGACAGTCGATGTCCTAAGTCTGATAGGAGGAGATTAGTTCTGCTGACGCAGCCCAGAGTGTGGATCGGGCGCGCAGTCATTCTAATCTCCCGACAAATCGCTTACGTCCAATCAACGAAACAAGTGTCTAACTGCCACAACGTGGCAAGTGCAGTGTCAGGGAGGGGGGCAACACTCAGCGTTGCTGACTGCTAGGGCGACTGCTCAGTATGACGTTGTGATAAGGCTGAATGACGTCACTGACAAGGAGAAGGGAGAGTGGAATTTTCACAGTAATCGCGGCAAACATGGACACCATGATGCGTATGGGAATCGTTAAATATGATTGGTGTGTGGTTACGCAACGGCCTCATTGTATAAATATTTCATTCCCTGTGCGTGAATTAGCTTTAGCTGCCCTCAATCCTGATGATGTGATCTTAAGAGAATACAAAACCTGGGGTGAATGAAAGTGCTGAGCCTACGATTTTGTCCTCTTTTCCGCAACTGTTTTCGGGAAATCATTCCCACAACTACAGCGAATTTATTAATATAATTAATTTCCCGACAGCTAAAGCGCCGCTTTCCATCACTTCACTACATGAATAGCACGTACTGTACACGCACCTAATGTCGGATCTCTTCAGAAAGCTGGTATGATAATTTACCTATATGGCTTTCAAAATTACACAACAAAATCATGCGTTCATCTGTCGTTAAGCTCTCTCTCAATAGTAGACACCCTGTCGGCCCTGCGGACACGTACCTGGTTGCCCTTCGCGCATAAGGAGGCATGAATACGTACGGGCGGTTGCGTAAATCAACAAACTGAGGATCGCTAGGTCGAGGTCAGGTTTACCACATGACTTTAAATGTATTTGAGGAAAATTGGCTTACGCCTCCGGAATCACAGTTTGTGTATAACAATCGAAAAATTAGCAGCAAAATGAAGAAATTCCAGCGGCAAGTGAATGCGGACATCGATCAACATAGGACACTAATTTTTTGGTCAAACAGTCACATAGCCGTTTTTCGGTGCAAAATATGTCTGTCCAGCCGATATTTAAACTCCTCCTTAGACTGAAAGACTTCAATCGCCTCAGGCAGGTTATTCCACGGCTCCAGGAATCGGCTGGTGTAAAAATACTTTCACACATTGATTTTTTCCTTTGATAACACGTAGCTTGAAGGGATATCCCCGCAGGTAATTTGTGGTGGCGGGTTAAAAACTCAACAGGGGGCAGTCCAAGCCACGCGCAATGTGAAACAATTATATAAGGTTTCCGCGCATATGTCTATAACTTAGATGATAGTGATTAGAGTTAGTCGTGCGGTCTCGTAAAGCATTGTTCTTTGACCTCTTGCTAATTTTGTGGCTCGCCTCTGCTTTACCGGTTTTGCATGCTGCTTCCAGGTATCTCAGTGTTTGACTCCTTCGTGCACAATCCAGTACTCTAAAGGCCCTTTTTAGTTCAACAGAATGCCCATGGTCTGCATAGCATGTAATGGTCAGTGGTCTTCACGCTTTGGTGTCGATAACTTCTGTTGTGTAAAATCGATTAAAACTGCAGGAAGTGCAAATTCATTAAAAAGGTGGTTAATTTCAAGTGTACGTAAACACACATGTTCAGAAGAAAGTAGATTTAGTTGACTGCGACCTGCAAAGGTGCACTAAAACCAGTGTCAACATCAAAAATTTAATGATATTAAGAGTTTGCGGAGGCCTTTCTTTCGCATCCTCTCATGAATAATAACGGTCAGATACAGTTATGTAGCCCCACCTGAAGTAAGCAAGCCCCAGTCACATGTAGTACTGCACCGGTGGTTATAGGGGTTTTTTAAAGGTGAGGACGGGGAATGCACAGGTGATGAGGTGAAGTACTTGTGTGCAAAAGAAAAGTAATTGGGAATGCGTGGTTATACTTTGACTAATCGGTAAATGGTAGTCTTAACCCGTAACCGTAACCCTAACCTCTAACCTCTAACTCTAACTCCTAGTCCTAACCACAGCAGTATTGTGCTCATCAGGTTGGGAGACAGAAAAAACTTACCATTATAACAACCGAATATATAAAAATTGTTTTTGATCAGAAGAAGAAGCGATCGCTGGAACAATGGCTTTATTCGCCTGACGTTTCGGATTCTCTCTTGAATCCATCATCAGAGACAGCAGCAGAAAAGGGTGGCTTGTGTACGGGAAGTCGCAGTATTTATAGGATGCGGTCGCTATGCTACCGCATACCTATAGCAAGTAACCGTGCTCCCTTCATCAAGGATTGTTGCCCGCAGGTGCGCTAATTGCTTGATGGCCGACATGCAAGTTGTTAATTGCTGACATCTCATCACCCGTGTTGGATGCTGGCGTGATGATCGCTCGGCCATCTGGCTCACGTGCTTGCGCGCTCCTCGAGTGGTCAATTGCTTTGGCCAGTCTATGCCTCAGGACATAATATGGAGTGGGGATGTCGTTGCACTTGTTGATAGACTGAGGTCCCGTGAACCATGACTCAAGCAACTCGCGGCTCACGCGATTATCCCCTCTCGCGAGAATTTCGGCCTCATCGAACTTGAATGTGTGGCCGGGTCTCGTCGAATGGGCCGCGACCTGAGAGTTGGCGTCATTTCTCCGTACAGCTGCCACGTGTTCGGCAATTCGCGTCCGGAGCAGTCTTCCAGTTTCTCCGACATAGTTGGTTTGTCCGCAACTGCACCAGATCCGGTAAACGACTCCAGATGTTTCTTGCCGTGGCCGAGCGATCATCACGCCAGCATCCAACACAGGTGATGAGATGTCAGCAATTAACAACTTGCATGTCGGCCATCAAGCAATTAGCGCACCTGCGGGCAACAATCCTTGATGAAGGGAGCACGGTTAATTACTGTAGGTATGCGGTAGCATGGCGACCGCATCCTATAAATACTGCGACTGCCTGTACACTAGCCACCCTTTTCTGCAACTGTCTCTGATGATGGATTCAAGAGAGAATCCGAAACGTCAGGCGAATAAAGCCATTGTTCCAGCGATCGCTTCTTCTTCTGATCAACTAGTTCCTGGATCTCGCATTTTCGCTTGTATCGGCAAAATTGTTTTTATTGAAAATCAATATAGAACTGATAAATTTTCACGGATTTTTTAAATAAGTCATTTTTTCCGTAAACACTTCCGAATAAATGAAAGGTCACCTTAATCAGACACTCCGTATTCCAAAATACTAATTTGGTAAATCCCTATTTGCGTTTACTAAGCTTCCGGTTTGCACTATGGATCGAAATCTTGTTTACACTCTGTTCAAGGAAGCTAGAAAAATTCCTATAATGGCCCGCTTTGTGCAGAAGCATACCACGAATTGACGCAACACCCATTTTCTAAAAGGCAATCATATTGTATTGGCCTTCAAATGAAAATAGTATTACAAACGCGGCCGAGCCACGGCAGCCCATGCTTATCTTCAGGGTCTTCCAAAGCACTTTATTTGACATTTATATTAAATCTAATCAAAGATAAAGGGGAGAAGGTACCACGCATTGCACGTCACCTCTGGACCAAAATTTCGAGTTCCAATATGCTTGTAGCTGCCGGTACATTGGGAGAACCGAGAGTAAGGGACTGACAGCTCAATCAGTAATTTTGCAGAACGATGTTTGAAGACAAAAAAGCAAGTTCAATCTCACGCTGTTCCGATAGTGGACGCTATTTTGGCCCAGCCAGCAAGTACACCGTAGTTATGGCGGTGGGTTGAGCGAGTCGCACGACCGTTACAACCGTGCGAATGAAAAGTCGCCTATGAATAATTGAATTGCTCATAACCACCTTACAGCAAAGACCAGGTAAATTGGTGGGGGTGGCCAACCTAGATCTGAGGCCAGACGAGGTGATAAACCACTCCAATCTCTGGGAGTAGTCGCGCAACAACCGACTTGGGGCAAATATTACGGGTAGAGGATCAGAATGGAAGCGAGCAGACGTCTAAATTGAATTCGTCTTGATCGTGTTCAGCAAACGTGTTGGCGAAAAAATAACCTTCTTAGCCTTTTCATTCTTTTTCGCGGAAAGCCTCCCTACGCTTAATTGTCCACCGTCATTCTGCAGACTGTGTGGGCTATAAGTGGAAACAGTATGATGTCTCATTCTAGGGTCCGAAGGATAGAATTTGAAGTTATAGGGTTGTAAGCCAAAAGTTTTAAAAAAGCCGAATTCGCTGGGATTGTAAATCACGTAAGGATTACTCCAGCAAACTCTCTAAGTACGTGGATTTCGAGGGTCGACTGAGAGTTTCAGGTATTTTCGATTTTTATATAAATTGTTTACCCCACCAACTGCGGCGTATACAGTCGTTACATTCTGTCTGTCCAAGAGGCATATGTAAACAGCCCGTCAAGAAGCCCCGAGAGAATTGCCGGGGAAGCAATTAAACAGGCGTCTCCAGTGAATACCGAACTGGTTAGATTTTTGCGCAAACTTTTCGCAAGCAAATCACAAGAGTGTTGAGCAACGACTGCCATTTGCGCCTACACAATTAAACAGGCGTATGCTGCAGATTTGAGCAATCTACTTTATTTGGTATTTGTGCTTACAGGGGTGACCAATTTGAAAATTGAAATAGGCGTCCTTGGTTTTAGTCGTAAGTGTGGTTTAGAGCGGGCCTCAGGACGACGAAAACCTTATACTCGGAATTCGCTGATAAGAGAGTACGGTATAACATTTTTACGGTCAACCCAAAAACCAAGACCACCGGGTTCTAAATTTTGAATGCTATACGACAGTCAATTCAGGCAAGCCGAGCGCAACAATTACAGCTCCTAGCGCCTTCCTGATTAGTACCTGTCAACAAGTGACAGTCGATGTCCTAAGTCTGACAGGAGGAGATTAGTTCTGCTGACGCAGCCCAGAGTGTGGATCAGGCACGCAGCCATTCTAATCTCCCGACAAATCCCTTACGTCGAATCAGCGAAACAAGTGTCTAACTGCCACAACGTGGCAAGTGCAGTGTCAGGGAGGGGGAGGGGGTAACTGTCAGCGTTGCCGACTGCTGGGGCGACTGCTCAGTATGACGTTGTGATAAGGCGGAATGACGTAACTGACAAGGACAAGGGAGGCTGGAATAGTCGATACCCAGCCATACCCAACTTCGAGGGGTGGAACACATAGGGCTCGATTTTGAGACCTGTAGATTTGAGGTCCAATGTCTCACCACAGGACAACGAACTTGTGACTCGAGGGTTAAGAGTGTTGGACTTTGAACCAACCTCTCACGGGGTCGAGCTCCAGGTGTTTTACACCTCGGAGTTGGGTATGACTGGCTGACGACAGACAATAAGACAAAAGTGGCCACTCCAGTCTCCCTTGTCTTTGTCGGTTACGCTATTCTGCCTATATCGTAGGCCGCTGGTTGGGCTCGAGAGATCTCCACGGCACAGCGCGACAAGTGAGTTTCGTAACGCGGTCGATGAGCGATAAAATACATGATCGGTATTAAATTGACCCTTATCAGCCCCTTGGGAGTTGCGACTGTACAGCACCTTTTTGCCCCGATTGTTTTCCTGGCATCTGGGGTTCAAAAAAACCAGTTTCACTCATTTTAAGTATAAGACTTGTGGTTACAAAGCAACATACCACGGCCAATCGACAAATTTTTCTTAATTATGGCCGTTTGACTGTCGGTTTTAACGACACCCGCCGTTTACTGTACAACGAGGTGAGGGCAGTGACGGCGACTCGTAATTGAAATGGTTGAAGGTGATGGTAGCTAATCGGGGAAGGCATGTAGAGAAGCTTATTTTGATTTGCATCAATTCCTTATTGGAAACGCATTTTTAGAACTTTGGTTAACATTTCATGGGATCGGTTATTAACTCCGCAATGTCATTATCCTCGTCATCCCTCAAGTCTCACAATCGCGGGCATAGTTGGATACATGCATGGAAAATCCTGTGGATAAAACTCGAGCCGAATTTGTGCAAACTTTTTTAGGACACTGGGAGACTGTCTTTACCTTTCTGGGTAATTAAGCCTACCGTTGCTATGCGAGCTAATCGGGGATGGAGTACAGCGGAGTCGACTCTAATTTACACAAAACGCAGCCAGACATCGCCTGTGTGAGGCACAACGCATTCGCTGTGGCCAACATTTCAATATGCACAAACGTTTTCCTAACAGCCGCCTTTCCATAGGTCTTGAATAACATCACGCATAAACGTTCACAAAGAAGATTATGTTAACCTCAAAGTCCTTTTTTCCCTCGCATTACATGCTGCTAATCCATAGAACTGGGCTTCAGTCCAGTCAAATTATTAAGCAAATTAGCAAAGAAACTTTCGCCTTTACGGATCACTTGGGTACTTGTTAGCAAATTTTTATGGAAGCCATATATTTAAAGTTGGAAACGGTATAGTTTACAACGGGGCTCATTTAACATTTTCGTGCGTAGTGTTAAAAAAGGGAATTACGTCGGGCAGGATGGCATGTTGAATGGCTGGTATAGTGTCAAAATCTCATTTATCTTAGGAAGTGGTAATCAAAAATCCGGAATATCATTTTTTTATAGAGGATGTTATAATGTTTGTAATCGGGCGGCATAATCATAAAATATTGCGGTCAGGCCATGTTTTGAAAGTGCAAGATTCCGACTGCCTGCAGAAACCGCACTCGATGAAATGACTGAATTTTTGCACATTGGGTTTCTACTTTTTGCTGTATTTAATAGTCCAAGTAGATTTTGTAGAAGCCATGAATACGAATATTGTTCCTCATACACATTTGATAGGAAAAGAACTTCTCTTCAAGTTTTATATTTAAAGGAATGATGACTGCCAGTTTGGGTCGGATGTGGTTAAGTAGACCAGCTTGAAGTAAAAAACCCCCAGTTATCTCTAATGCAGTGCCGGTGGGCCAGGCAACGCACATGCGACGAGGTCAATTAGTTGTATGAAAAAGAAAAGTTATTGGGAATGCGCGGTTGTACATTAAACGGTTAAGAAATAGTTGCGCTAACCCCCAACACTGATCCTCACCCCTAACTACAACCCCTATACCTAAGCCCTAACCCCGAGCCCTAACCCTTAACCAAAACCTCAACAGCATTGTGCCCATCAAGTGGGGCCAACAAACCATATATTACCGCACCAGCAGCGGTTGCGTTTGCGTGTTCAGCTCCTACGACGCACACTGTACAGATTCTGATTAAGGAGAGTTATACACTTCCGTAGGTTATGGAGAAGATGGCGTATGAAGCTTCCGACATTTTTCAATGAGTGAACATTCCACAATTGCATAAATCTGAAAACAATAATCTTTTTTAAGACAAAAAGTTACTTCTTCATCAAGTATTAACCCAGAGAAGGCGTTGTTTGCAACAACGCATCTCAAAAAAGGTGTTTGCGTGGAAAGCGATTGTTTTACGGATCTTCCTTGTCCAGTTGTGCCTTGGGGCTTAGTAGTTTCTTCTGGAAGATTGGACGTTTCCTGTCATGTCGTTTGCTATCAACGGAACGAATCTCAAAGAGAGCCACAGAAAACATCTTTTAAAAGGTCGGCCCACAGATGACAAGAATTGTCCGCGTGGTGGTTTCCGAAATCTGCAAAAAACAAGTTTTAGGCGTCATTTGACGAGAGCGGAACGCGATAACTGAAAATGCCAGCGTGTAGTTAAACCAGTAGTTTGACCTAAATACGGGACCTCAACAACAACAACCAGTCAATTTACTACAAACGAATTTGCATAATGGCACTGTTCCGGCTTGTTGAGAGTACAGTATTGCCTCGGAAGACAACGTTCATTTACTTAGATGCCTTCAGATGCTGCTGAGGACATTTGGCTACACGTAGGCCTGTGTCCACATGCGCACTCAACGACAAGATTAAAGGTCAGCCCGGACTTTGGCGAGCCTTTCCTAACGTCAATAATCTCTCGAAAACTGCCCGTGGCCGCACGCCACTGTGAAACGATATTGCATATAAACCGAAGGGGATCATCAGACGTCCGCTGATTAAACCTTCAACACGCCAATACAGTTAGGAACAGCCAAAGTCGTTCAACCGACCTGGTGGAAATGCTAAAAAGTGTAAAATTATTCTGGACGCGGATAGATGGACACTCACCGACATGGAGGGGGAATAAAGCCGACCTTCAAGCTCTGACTCCCATCTTGACTTCAAGGCCAACGAAACCGAAGTGCTATTTATTCTATCTGCTATGGGCGTATGCGTGTGTGTTGAGAAACTGTATCTTATAAAACCGAACGTCCTGGGCGTCCCGTACTTTTCTCCGGTGTTTTCTCTGATAATCCGGATGACACGCATATACGAGTTGTCTGAAATCATCAGTAACCGCACCGGTACTCAAAACTGTTGTCGTCTCAGTGTCTATTCGTCGGAATAAGGTGAATAGGGAAATTATCGAAAGGCTTACCAGACAGGAAGATACACGAAAACAGAGAAGGCCGTAATCTGGATCAGCTTGCAGGTCAAGGTTCCCATCCGGCAAATCGACCAGCTAGGTAAACCCATCGATGTATGAGAAATGAACATACTGCGTAGCTGGAGCCCCTCCCTACGTAAACCTCCCGAAGACATAAGCTGACCCGCACACATCCAGACGTAGCACACATTTAGGCAAGCACTGGTTGGTCCCAGTCGAAATAAGTTCAGGCGCAAGCACTTCAACTGTCACTGGCCAGATGATGACGCCAATGCAATTGACATTTTCGGCGTAAATAATTATTTACAGTTCCCTACATCTACAAACGTTTCTGCTAATTTTTATAATGGATAACTCTTGAACACTAGAAACGCGGAAACGTCTGTTTTGGTTTGCCCCCGTGATTTACACAATCGAGCGCTTTAAATGAAAGAACCCACATCAGCAGGACACGTTCCCTCAGTCGACGCTCGTGGCAGGGTCATAGGAGGCAAGCGGAGTGCGACTTTATTTATAAAAAGACAAAAAGTAATTAGGATATCAATAAGGGCGCGGGAAACTAATGGCGAAGATAATAAACAAGTGAATTAGTGCTTTAAGCGTGCAGTTTACCTCCAGAGAAAACCCAAATTTTAAAGTGAAATGGAAAATTCCACATGGCATATTTTTGTCAAAATGATTATATCTTAACGCAAAAAAATAAGTCGAGATAAGCAATTAGGACTTCATTAATTAAGGCTGATGGGGATAGGATAAAACCATCCTTTTTAGATGTTGCATATGCATGGTCAGCAGGCGACGGCGGCAGTTATAAAAACTGGCAAAAGAAAAATAAATAGATGTAGAGTGGCAATAACACCAAAGAGAAGGGAGACTGGAATGGCCATTTCTGGCTTATTGGCCATCTTCAGTCAGTTACACCGGACTGCGAGGTGTGGAGAACCTGGGGCTCGATCCGGCGACCTGTTGGTTGTTATTCCAAAGTCTATAACCATTAAGCCATAATCTCGTTGCCCTGTGATAAGTTGTTGGCCTTCTAATAAACTGATCGGGAGATTGAGCATTAGATGTTCCAGCCCTCAGAGCTGGGTGTGCCTATCTGAGGACTGCTAATAGACCGAGAATGTTTGCCGCAGTTTCCCTTGTTTTTGTGTAATATTAGGCAAGAATATGTTTGTGTACGATTCCCAAAAGCAAGTATTTGAGTTCAAAGGCGCAATGAAAGTAAATTTAAAAGTGCACACTGTTTCTTAATTCATTTTTACTTAATTTGCTTTGAGAAGACGGCGGTAAAGGAGCATGATCGAAAACTGACATGCCAGCGTGTACGGACTAAATTTTGCAAGACAACCTAAATAATTCTTTCTGATCGGAAACACATTTCAGAATTTTGGCCAACGATTCATGCAACAGTTCAGACAATACTTGTGCAAAATCCATTTTTATTGCACAACGGTTTCCTATATTTACCCGCCCAGAGCAGTGCAAATTCCTATACCAACCTTTTAAATCTTGAATAATTTTTACGATGTTCTGCAGAAAAATTCAAAAACTTAATGCTTTTCGCTTTTTTGCAGGTATTTACGCTTTATTTTTAGGTTTGATTTTAGAGCTAGCACTTGTTGCGCGTTATAAAAGGCTTCCTGGCACTGTATGCTCTGGATTGCAACCTGCTTTCTAAATTGGTCTTGCAGGCGGTCTTTCAGCGAACAAAATTTATAAAGCTGCCAAGCTTTAAATACCTAAGACAAGTGCAACGTTCTTTCAGACGCGAATATTAAGCCGGTGTTCACATAAAATGACCAGGGAGCCTAATTACAGTAATTCCGAAACATCGTGTTCCTATATAAATAAATTTAAGGCTTCGTGCTAAATGAATAGATTTGTATATGAGAAAAGTGGTGCATGTGAAAAAAACCAAAGAATTATTAACTGAGTTTGAAAACTGTGGTTTAACAAACATACCAAACTCAGGTTTCAAAGGCTTCTCGCTTATGCGTGGGAAAATGAGGAGGAAAGGAGGAAAAAGGTTTTACCAATTACGTGGCGAATTTCGACATTTTACCTTGATAAATTACGCAGTCTTACCAGGAACATATTTGTTAATGCCCCAATGCAAGCAATCATAATTGTGCATATTTTTTAATTACAGATAAATCGATCGCTTTCGTCGTTCTTGGGAACGAATTGGTGTCGAAGGGCTCGGGCATTTCACATTGGCATTCAATGATTGAAAACGCAGATTCCACCATTACGGAGATCCACGAACTTCAACCTATCTCTTGATGAAATCCTTTGGTTTCAGTTGCTTTCACATCTAAAACGACTACCACTCTATTTTCCCATTTTTCTAAGCAAAACTGGATTGTGGGGCCCGCACCTTCTGCGCCCCAACAACCGCTGCATTTTAAATAAACGTAAAAAGTATTTTGCGAGAGCCACCATTGTTTACTATCGTTTTTCTACACCTTTTAGTTTTTTCGACGGGATCATCCGAGCAGAGGAACCTAACGATATTGCAACCGAGTGCTTTAAATAATAGAGAAAACAAACAAAGTCGTGTCTTGAAAGGTTGTTAAGTGACGGGATAACATGGACCTCGCAGTCGGCCTAGCGATGAGTGTTTGTGTAGCGGTAGTCAAAGAGTGGCTGTAGTGGATCCTTCTTAATGCGACCTTTATGGCATTCCCACTCCGTTGAGTCCGATCAAGGCGTGACGGCACGCCTAGGTGCGCCTGCGTTCGTGTCAGTCACCCTTTCACTGTTGATTAAATTCTTGACCATTTACTGTGTGGACCAGGGGTGTGGAGTAAAACGCCAAGGCGCAGGCTTAACCGCGCCATCCATCTGTTTCCCCCACTCCCGGTCTTCTTCACCCCTTCTTGACTCCACGTGGGGAATAAGGAGAGGGTGCGGTAGACGACGCACAAGTCTAAATTCACTTTAAACTAAATCATACAAAAGTTGCCATGTCTTCTGCACTTTGCTTCTGAGCACACGGTGGACATCGACGGCAGCAAAGATAGAACTATCAAATTAAGTCTGCAATCTAAAATGGTTTGTTCGAAATTGCCAATAACTTGAGAGCTCCACCATGCAATTCAACAATGCTCATTGTGTGCTCAACAGTGTGATGAGAGCATGGATGGCGACACGCGCGTGAGTGGGTTTATGATGATAGTGGACTTTCGACGCATCTACCACACTCACCCCTCCCGGTGTCAAGACAGAGTCAGGAAGACCGGAGCTGGGAGAGGCCGTAGGTAGCTAGCGTGGCCGGAACCGCTCTTAGGCGTGGGGCCACACCCCGCCCGAATGAACGGAATGGGAGTGCCATAAAGGTCACAATGAAAATGGGTAACTGCAGACTGGCTTCCCGTCTGCCAGTCCGCCATTCCAAACCAACACACGCTGGGCTGACTGCAAACTCTGAGTCCTCCCACAAGGAAGAAACCTTTCAAGCAACGGTTTTTAGCGCACCATGGTGGCTTTAGGCGTGTTAGATTTTTATACTGAGGGAAATTCACCGAGTAGTCGACCTTACTCTCTACTCCCTTTCTCCGGCGACAGCCACTGTCCGAGCCGGTCGTATGTGTGGTGTGAGAAATGGTCAAAAATTAACTGCAGTAATAACTGTCAGAATGACATGCTCAACTCCTTATTAAATATTAAAAAACAACCAGCGCAATACTGTCGACATTCTCGTGGCTGAATCACACGAGATGCAGGCAGTCAGCCGGCAAGGGATCCGGTTGCTGTTTGTCACGCCTAGTAGAGGTTCTCATGTGGAGGTGGGGGTGTGGAGTTGGGGCGGGGCAGACAAGTAACCGCAACCGCTTCCAGTAAAACACCGCATCGGGATGCGGCAGAACTCAAAAAACGCTAGACATGGAGTTCTACAAGCTGAGGGTGTGTGACCCGCGTTAGGAGCGTTTGTGTGTGTGTACCGTAAATAATTCTGACTGATAGGAGTATGCAGCTGAGTCGACGTCTGCCGAGCCTTACGCAGAAACATAACGTGCCGGTTAAATGCTTCTGATATTTTTTCAATCGTCATCCTACGCGACGGCCAGCCTGTTGGGCAGAGCGGACTCATGAGGTGAATCCAACAGTTTAAACTCACGTACCTCTAGTCATTGCAATGAAACGGCTCGTTGATTTTGCTCAGATTATCGTGCACGCAAACCCCTAATTTGTATGTCTGATACTGTGCAATTGCTTAGTTATTTACTTTCCTGAGATGTCTTTTATTGGCTCCTGTACATTTTATGATGTTCGCTTCTCTACAAATGAGTAAGGACTACAGGCAGCATTGGCAAATTGCTGATGGCTAACTAGCACTCTATTGAAGGACGTCTGCGTATCTCGCGAGGGTCACTCATTTAAGGCATTCGGGCAGGACATAAACAGACTTGACTGATTTTGTACCAATCTAAACTATGGAACTGCGCTATCCATGCGTTACGAAAGCGTTTAACAAAAGCAGGATTCGAGACGGCTGATAAGAGAGGCTGTTCCAGGGATCAGCGATCAAGCTACTGGAAAAAGCATTGATAGGAACTCATTGATAATCCTGTCGCGGGGTGATGGGTCGTCAAGAAGAACGTTGCTGTCCTGCGGTCCAGCCGGTCAATCTCACAACTATATTGAACTAACACCAGTGTGAATGCACACTAAAGACACCAGACTCTCAAAGGAAGTTGTTGAAATTATAATGCCTTTGAAGTAGAGATGGTCAAGCTTTTCATCCGCTATTGCAAAATGTCATCAGCATATTGGGCAGAGGAATAAAGATCCCTTATAATTGGACTGAGCTGGATTTTCTCTAAATTTTCCATAAAGACACCGGCTGGTAGAGGTCCAAGGGGTGATCCCATCGTTACGTCGTTGGTCTGTCTGTAAAATTGATTATCGAATCTGAATTCGAAATTAAACCCGCAGCGAAAATCAAATCCCTTATGTCTCCCGCTGCCATTCAGATTAAGAAATCCAGTCTAACAATCTCGTCCTAAAAATTCTGTCTTTTCCATGAGAAGAATCTTAGTGAACTAAGATGCGACATCTAACGGCAGCACCATTTCCCACAAAGAATTTTATTTCTTATGGAGCCGACAGATTTAAATATGGCCAGCAATGAACTTGGCACTATTCTATGTCGAAGCACCTTAACACTTCCTGTCAGCCACTTTGCAATTGCGTGATAGAGCAAATTACCCATATCCGATATCGATTGCATCGGAAGGTCTGGTTATGAATCTTTGGCAATTCACATACCCTTGGGGGCATTTTGTCTGTGGAATTAAGAACTTTGAACTTTTGTGTACTAGGAAAGCCTTGGCATTTAAATTTCCGAAGACCTTTCGTAAGTTGGACCTCTACGTTCTTTATTTTGTCCTTATTATCCCTCTCATTTTTGAGCTTCTTGTCATTAGCCGGTATTAATGCTATTTTCGATGAGTGAAAACTTATATCAATAGCAATGAAACCATAGCCTTCATTCGTTGGTGAGGAATGTTTACTTGATTCTACTAAAAGCAAATCAGGCATATCACGCAAGAATATCTTTTAATATGTGGTTATGTATCCACATCCGATGTACACAATACTGATGACCTACTTAATTATTTTGATTTAATGTGATTACGTTGACATGGTGTTGCTATGCATCGCATTGTGTGTTCTTTTGGCAGGCTTGCTTCTTTGTTACCGTGTGTACATTTTCGGCTCAGTGCGGGCGGTCCTTCTTGACTTTCGGCCAGTCGTCTCCTTCCAACTGTCGCGTTGGATGTTTCAGGGTAAGGGCTTGGGACTGCGGCTAAGGGTTAGGGGTTAGGGTTAGGAATTTTGGTTAAGAGCTAGAGTGAAGAGTTAAGGGTAGACGTCACAGTTAGGGAGTAGAGCAACTATTTCTCAAGCAATCAAAATATAACCGCGCATTCCCAAAAGCTTTTTTTGCATACAATTACTGGAGCGCGTCACCTCTGCGTCGCCCGGTCCTACCGGTAAAAACCCCCATTACCACTGGTGCCGCATTACAGTCGACTGGGTTTTGGTAACCTCCTGTGCAGTTACGTAACCACATCTGACTGAACATCTGAAGGAAATCAAAGAATTCTATCTACACAAGGAAATACTCGTTATCAAACTTAGCAGGGGTTCTCGTCTCGTTCAATGAATAATGAGTCATCTATAAAGTGCCGGTGAGGCAACCCAAGTTATTGCGTCGGCGGACACTTTTGACGGTTCAGGCAATGACCATAAGGTTAGACAACCCAACCCTGCGCTCGACCGATGCGTTTGTACGGACATTAAGGTTCCCCTGGGCAACGAAACACCCAGCATATATATTCACATTATCCACGTCGCGGTAAAATGATGAAACACGAACGGTTAGTCGTATGATACCCTCCCTCTTCGCATTCCTTAAGAGCCTAGTAGAACTAGAATCTGACCTCTGACCACTTAACGCCCCTCAACCCTCTCCGCCATACTTGCTTTTATTGGCTGTTTAACTTTTTTTACTCTGTCCTCCCTTATATTACTGCAAATTCTGATGAAGAATAATCAGACGCGTGCGTTTGCCGGACTTGGCTTCCCGAATAATTCGCGATTTAGAATGTCTGAAATGCAAACTCTGTATTTTTCACGCCAGTGAACTCACATATGCCCATATGCTATCACGAAGAGGACAGATGAGGCTCGTAAGATTTTGTAACGGTTGTAGAACGCGTTGTCCACTTTGTGAGCAGATTTAAAATACGATGTTTGGTAGGATGTTGTATTTTCGGCTATTTACGTCGCTTCATAAGTCTCATTATAAGATACTTTTTACGACTGCGCGATCTCCTCAGGTATATTCTGCAAAGATAGCACAATGTTCTATAGAATGAGAGAAGAAATGAGCCATTTTGTGCATCCGTAGATGTTTTGGGAGATCTTGAATAATTCATATTGAGTCAACTGCAAAAGTCAACGCCTCGGTGGGCTTCGAACCAACGACGGTAAGGGGGGAAGGCATTAGTACAGCCAACGCTCTAGCCACCTGAGCTACGATGCCCAACAGACGACGCGAGTTTAATCACATTTGGGTCAAGTTATCAGCCCAACCTACTGCGACGTCTTAAATCCACCAAACCTGATACGGCAAGCTGACTGCGCAAACAGGAGTTCCTAAGTAATTAATCTAGAATTCAACAGATGATTACCAGGCTCACGTTATTCATAGATTTGACTAAATTCATAAATGCGACTAAACTCGTGCCGTCTGGCGGGGCCTCGTAGCTCAG